CATTCATGACACAAAGAGTCACAGCAGTTCTTCCTGCAGAACCTAAATGTCCAGGATTAAACCTTTCACCGTGACTTGAGGACTAACAAACTGACAGTAATACATTGGGATACAAGGAAAACAATCACCTGATAAATGGTGCTACTGCTCTGACTTCTCTGAATCATGCTAGTCTCCCCAGATAAATAGAAAATGAGTATCACCTTGAAAGCAAGAGCAATTTTTCTGTCTGGGATTGAAGAAATAAGCAAGAGTCTCTACTAACTTTAACTTTTTGATGCTGGAAACAATAAAACTTTTTTGAAGGAAACTCCAAAGGAAGACTGTGGAGGACTGAGGTGTACAGGGGAAAAAAAACACACTTATTGAGCACCTACTATGTGCTGTGTGCCTAAGACCATCTGCGTTGCCTCTTTTACTCGTGAGTCACGTGAGGACTCCCCCAAGGTCACGGGGTGGCAGATGTAAGAACAGGAGCAACGTCACGGCTTTTCCCATCAGTTTATTTATGATGCCAAGTGCAAATGATTATAGTGAGAAGAGCTCTTCCCAGATCTCACAGCCTGCAAGTTGAACACTCAGTGGGCTCATCCTTGGAAAACGTTTCTCAAAGATAATAAGTTTTGAGGCAGGGAGGTGCCCTGGGAATGAGCGCCTATGAATCTCAGTTCAAATCCCACCTCAGCCTTAGTTATCTCATCCCTCTAAACTGCAGATCCTTACCAGGAACATGGGGAGGCCTCGCTGGGTTGTTGGGAGGCTTGCATGAGATAATGCACAGAAAGCATTCATCTTGTAGAAAGTGCTCTGCCACTGCTAGTTCCCTCACCCCTAAAACAGTGGGGTGGTCTTGTTGTTTTCCTAAAGTAATCTGCATCAGAGACTGGAAGTCACTTTTCCTACTAGCCATATTCTTCTCAAGGAGCCCTGGCAGCACGATGGTTAAGCGTTCGGCTGCTAACCAAAAGGTCAGTGGTTCAAACCCACCAGCCACTCTGTGGGAGAAAAGACCCACAAAGATTACAACCTAGGAAACCCTATGGGGCAGTTCTACTCTGTCCTATAGGCTCGTTATGATTTGGAATCGACTCAACGGCAACAGGTTTGGTTTTATATTCTTCTCCATCTGGGTATTAGCTCCTTAGTAAAGCAGGCTGAGTTTTTGTTTTTGTTTTGTTACTGTTGCTCATTGTTAGTTGTTTTTAATAAGGAAAACATCAGTGGTTAAGCACTCGGCTGCTAACCAAAAGGTTGGCAGTTCAAACCCATCAGCTGCTCTGCGGGAGAAAGATGTGGCAGTCTGCTTCCATAAAGATTTGCAGCCTTGGAAACTCTATGGGGCAGTTCTATTCTGTCCTCTGAATCAGAATTGACTTGATGGCAGTTTTTTTTTTTTAAATGATAAAATTGTATTGTGATATGCCTGGTGTTCGGTGCATCAATCAAGTAGTAAGAACAAAGGGCAACTGAAGAGCTTGTTTTAAAGCTGGATTTCATTTGAGGTGACAAAAAGTTTTAGAAATAGATATTGGTGACGGCTGCACAATATGTGAATGTAATTAATGTCACTGATTTGTACAGTTAAATATGGTTAAAATGGCAATTTTTTGGTTATATGTACTCTACCACAATAAAGTTTAAAAAAAAAAAAAAAGGTGATTTCAAGGTCTTACTCCCACAAAGTTACGGATGCTGTAAGTCTGGGGCAGGAACCAGGAATCCGTAGTTCTAACAAGCACCTCAGTGGAAGCTGGGTGCAAGTGGTTCTCACCACACTAAGAGAGACACCATATTTACCTCCTGGAATATCGCCTTCCTAAAGGCTGCTGCCTCTGTTCCAAAATAACATGAAATATCAGCACTAAGTCTAAAGGGTAAGTGTTCAACCTTAACAATCCATAACACCTCATATTCTACATCACACAAATCACACTTTAGCATGTAATTGGATCTTGATAAAGTAAAACGATAACACCAGTTGCCATTAAGTTGATTCCAACTCATGGCGACCCCATGTGTGTCAGAGTAGAACTGTGCTCCATAGGGTTTTCAATGTTGACTTTTTGGAAGTAGATCACCAGGGCTTTCTTCCGAGGTGTCTCAGGGACTGGAACCTCCAACCTTTTGTTAGCAGCTGAGCACGTTAACCGTTCGTGCCACCCAAGGATTCAAAACTGTAACAGCCACTCCATCAATGTTTATATATTCTAAAGTTAACATACTTGGGGAGTATTTTGAAGCCTTACACTGTTAAGTATAACCATTCCCTCTTTTACTTCCACATTTTGTCAGTGCAAAACTTGCATTTTTGACCCCTGCCTATCTTACCGGGCAGGAAGAGCTGAGAAATCTGTGGGAAGGCATGGCTGAAGGGGCAGGAGAACATCTAGCAGCTCTCATTTCCTTGCTAGTGGGCACTGATGAAAAAGCAAATGTAGGAGTCTCCAAAAGAAAGGGATTCTGAGCAGAGTTCTCAGGGAAGCTGCCACTGAGCACATGGAAATGCTTTTCCTTCCTCTCCTAGATATGTGATGAAATACAGAAATACACTGGTGTCAAAAAAGATGAAGGAGAAGAAAAATACTGCCAGACTGTAACCTCATCTTTGAGCCCAAAGATGATTACCTATACAGGAAAGTGAGAGAAGATGTTTCACAGAACTGTCCACTCACCTCCTGCTTATTAAGAAGAGATTCAGCAGCCTCACTGACACATCAATGAAACCCCTCCCTGTCATGCCGAGGGAACCAAAGGCAGAAACTGAGTGGAAATAGACTTTACAAACCCACTCGGTATGTTGAATGTGGCACACTTGCTCTCACCTTGTAACTGGGGCACGAGAAGCTTTTGAGGATGTAATAAAGGCAAAGGTGCTAGGAAGTGTTGGCAAGGGTGGAAAAGAGAGGGAGGCGCCATGGTGAGTTTCAACTGCCTGAAAATAAACTCTCTGCAACGCTTAGGAAAACTTCTGAAGAAGAAAACATAGAAAATAATTCTGCTTCCGAAAACATCTCCAAGCTTGTTTTCGATCTGATGGAGAGCTATATCAAGAGGCATGCCCACTTCCAAATAGTCATGCAAACAGGCGATCATCTTCAGGAACTGTACATTTGAGCAGCATCAAACATCTGGTTCTGCTGCCAAACAAACCCATCTCCTGAATCTCCTTCACGGATGCCAGCAATATGAATTCCCTTAAGTTCTATGCTTAAGATGCCAAACATGCTTAAAACATCCTGCTTTATGATTTCTTTAAAACCAAGAATAATCTATTTAGATTTGAGGAAGCCTATTTGCAACTCCCCTTTGCTACAACAATTCATTCTACCTCCTGATGTTACCCTTTCTCCTTTATCTTTTCCTCTCACATCCCTCAATATGATGAGGTGTAGGGTACTGTCTTTTCTTTACAAATTATATATACTTTTCTGCATTTAGAGTCTAAACTCATGATGTATCGAGTCTGATGGACATATAAAAAAAAACCAAACCCGTTGCCATCCAGTCAATTCCAACTCATAGCACCCCTATAGGACAGAGTATAACTGCCCCATTGGGTTTCCAAGGAGCGGCTGGTGGATTTGAACTGCTGACTTTTTGGTTAGCAGCCAAGCTCTTAACCACTGTGCTCCGATGGACATATAGCAAAAGCTAATGAACAACAAATAATAACAGCTAATAACTGTGGAGCACTTATTATGTGCCATTTGTCAAGTATTTTACATGCATTTATCTCTTTGAATCCTTACCAACAATTCAAGAAAATAGGTACAATCACCATCTTCATTTTTCAGATGAGGAAATCAAGGCTCTGAGACATTAAGTAACATGCTCAAAGTCACATGGCTACTAAGCGGCTAAGTCAAAAGTTGGATCCAGGTTGCCTGACTTGAGAGCCAAAGGTGTGACAACTGAAGTTAGCTGCCATGAGCTTGTGATTTAAGCTCAAAGGGGCATGCTGTCTCTATGGGAGCTCTTGGACCCTCCAGCAGCCACACTGCAGAGCAGACACCATGCCACAAGACAGCATTCCAAACCCGTCAACATACTGAGAAACACAGCCCAGGTGGCACTCAGTCTCAGAATTTTCTAGAGCTGGGAAACATGGCCACAGATAAACTTCCCAGATAGGGTAGAAGTACTGGTCTAACAAAAGGGTGTGGCTTTTTTTTTTTTTTTTAATAAAAAGGAGAGATTAAATAGCATTATACGAGAATCATGCTGAGATTGAAGTATCTTGGTGCTAGTCTTGAACAGGCAGCCCAAATAAGCGTAACACGTGTATTTCATTCAAAGAATTAGCCTGTTGCCAAGTAAAGTGTCTTAAAGAATTGGAACGCTGTCAAACTAGCTTAACACCATGAAATGGTACAACTTAATGAGAGACTCTACAAATCTTGAGGAACACAACACACAGCTCTCTCCAAAGATTGTGATTTCACAGGTGGTTTGGTCTCCTTCCCTGGCTGCTTGCGCACACGCGCGCACGCGCACACACACACACACACACAAAAACACACACACACACACAAACACACTGGTAGGTGAAACACTGTAACTAAAAGCTGACTTGTTTAATTGAGTAAAATGTGTTCCACCCTTCCCTCTACCCAATTCCTTTAGAATAATTTAACTATTTTTTTTTTTTAAGTATAGAAATCCAAATAGATGACAATTGCCAAAGAGCCAATTGAAAAAAAAAAATCTACTCAATCTCCTGGAGACATAACATCCATTCTTGAAAAAGGAAGCCGTCATACTAAAATGAAACAAAAACGGTGGTTCAATGTTGAACCTAAGAGATTGGGGAGGGAGGGTGCCTGTACCAATCCTTGCAAATCAGCAACTGGCTTGAGGTTTTTCCAAACTGGATATAGGTGGGGGAATGGAGAAGGAAGGGAGAGAAGGAATAAAACACAGAAAAGATTTGGAATTGGAAAAAGTAAGAAATCTGAATTCAGTAATATTCTTTCCTGAGAAAAAGTATGACAGCTACTCACCTGTCTACTGCTTCTACGTCAAAGCAAAACCTCTTCTCTATAGAGTCTGTTTTCCGCCTTGTGCAGGATTTGAGGGTGACTGATTCGTCTTCTCCCTATTGAACACACAGACCATAAAGATGAAGCCAGAGTGTGGGCTCTGCTTCTCTCCAGGAGAAACATGACACATAAATAGGAGTGATCATTTCATTTCCTCAAACCTGAGTGTTCACAACATGTGAGACAGAAGGCTGATCATAAACCTTCTCAGCAAGAGGCTCATTCAACTAAAATTTGTAAACCATGTTGTACTTAGAGCCAAACACCTTTAATACAGGCAGATCATGATGGCACAGCATTAACATAGTAGCTAAATTCTTGTCTATATTGTTTCTAAAAAGTTTTAATTTGTAGGTTTGATAAGAGTTGAACAAGATGACCTTGAAATCTTCTCCCAACTCTGAGCTTCTGTGATCTTGATTCAGTCCTCACTTCTTCAGGAAAGCCCTTCTGGAACAGGTGAAATACTTCCATGACCTGTTCACATAGCACCATGTACCTCTCCCTCTTAACACTGATCATCATAGCTGAAATCTTCCATTGATGTAGGTGATAATTCAAGTAACGTCTCTCTCCCCGTTAGACTGTAAGCTCCCTGAGGGCAGAGACTGTGTCTGTTTTTGCTCAGTATTGTGTTCCCAGAACCTAACCATGCCCTGAAACAAAGCAGGTATTCCACAAATATGCTTCAACAGCTTGATTAAGGTATAATTAATGTACAATAAACTGTACGTGTTTAAAGTGTACAATTTGATGTTCTGACCCATGAAAACCAACACCACTATCAAGCTAATGAATATTTCTATGCTCTCCCACAATTTTCCTCATGCCCCTTTGTAATCTATCACTCCTCCCACTCCATCCCCAGGCAACCAATGAATCTGCTTTCTGTCATTACAGATTAATTTGCATTTTCTAGAATTTTATATAAATTGAATCACACAGTATGTACTCTTTTTTGTCTGGCTTCTTTCACTCACTTTAATTGTTCTGCGATTCATCCATGTTACTGTACCTAGAGTTTGCTTCTTTTTATTGATGAGTTGTACTGCATTGTACAAATATACCAGTTTTATCACATAGCACTAATTTACTGGTTTCTGACTCTCACTCCTTCTCTTTCGGTCACTTAGGAATTTGTTAGGGTTTCTGTTTCTCCTGCCTCTGCCAATCTTTTTTCTAAACTAGGAAGGAAATTAGCAAACTTGCCCAGTGTGTTGAAATAATAAGAAATGTGACTGCATAAGGTAAAACTTAAAAACTCACTAATATCAGGATCACACACAAAACACAGAAGACCCAGGAAAAGACAGTTTATTTTCACAAGTCTTACCTCTATTGTCTTTGATTTAAGAGCTAAGATTATAACTCAGACTAAGAACTCCTCTTGCTCCAATGTGCAAAATGTATGAGTGTAAACACCCAGACATAAGGGATTTTGGCCATGCTGATGTCTAACTGTATTTCTGACTTAATGGCTATGGACCAACTGCCACTTTGAAAGCTGACTTGAGTTGTTCCCAAGAAATGGAAGGAAAGGAGGATCTATAAATGACTATCAAATATAAGCAGAAAAAAAAGAAGATTCTGTTCCAAGGATGACCATACTATATCAAGAAAAATCTATAAAGATGATCTGTTCAACTACTGATGGTTTAAAAAAGATAATCAGAGACAAGACAAACAGGAACCCTAACAAATTCCTAAGTGACAGAGAAAAAGAAATCAGGACAGAAACCTCTGTCTCTAGACAATAAATTAATGCTACGTAGGAAAAATTAGAGTGAAAATAGAGAGCTTCGGTTAAGAAAAGATGATGGAAAGAGGGAGGATGCAGAAGTTTATGGGTATCAAATACTGTATCACACAACTCTCAGAGTCACTGAACTTCCCCTTTGCTGAGTTTCTTTATTTAGAAGGAGGTTCTCTCACCATCAGAGGGCTGCCCTACATAACGGGATGACCGATGGTGAGACCTGAGAGAGATCCACAAAGTTGTATGAAGGCTGTGCTCACTCTCTGAAGCTTCCACTTCTTCACCTAATTTAAAATCTGGTTGTTGGTCAAACCTCACAGAGGTTGGAGTCCCTCGGTGGTACAAACTGTTAACGCACTTGGCTGCTAAGTCAAAAGTTGGAGGTTCAAACCCATCCAGAGGCTCCTAGGCAGAAAGGCCTGGCAATCTACTTACTTTGAAAAATCAGCCATTGAAAACCCTATGGAGCACAATTCTACTCTGACACACACAGGGTCACCATAAGTTAAAATCAACTCCACAGCAATTGGTTTAATCAGTCTTAGCCTAGTCACCAAAATGTCCCCTTTCCAAAGTCATTGGGGCCTTGCCACTTCTTCCTCAAGAAGTGGTATACAAGAGGTAGGACACCTAAAAGTTTAACAGCATGTATTCTGCAGCCAGATCACCTGGGCTCAAGTCCTGGCTCCTTTATGTACTAGCTGCATCAGCTTGGGCAAGTTATTTAACTTTTCTGTGCCTCAGTAGCCAAATCAATAAAACAAGGAAAATAAGACAGTCACCTTGTAAGGTTGATCTGAGGATTAAATGAGTTCATACTTAGAAGTGCTAATGGGAGACACTGGTACACAGTAACTGCACGATATATACCTTAGCTATTTATTATTATTATCATTATTATATTACAATAGAGCCAAGTATTATTCCTCAAAACTCTCCATTGGCCCCTCTTCATCAGACATTTTGAGATCCTCATTATCAGCCAGTTCCAAGCTCTGCCCAGGTCTTACTGGCAACTCTGAAGCTTCAGGGGACACCCCACCCCAGCTACAGAAATCTTGTTACAATCATCTACAGAACTCTCTACTCTCGCCTCTTGAGTCTTAGCAGGCTACCAATACTACTAGTGGGAACCATGTTCCTTCTGTCCTATGAGCCCATATTTTCTGTACTCCATTAATCCTGTTCCTCACAACTCATCCCTATAAAGACCAATCTTCTTGTCCTTTCCCAGGGCCATAGAGCAGCTCCTAACCTGGTACTGCCTCCTCCTGGGTGGGTGACTTTGGGAAGGTTCCCAGCCTTCCCTGGACCTCAGTGTATAAAATGAGGATTAAACAAAGCCTGTCTCAGGTCAGTGGTTTCTAAGTGTTAAGGACTGGGGGAAGGAGGAAAGAAGGAAGAGGATGGGTGTGAGGGGATCTTTGTGGTAATGGAACAGTTCTGTATCTTGTTTGGGGGGGTGGTTTCACAAATCTACACATGAGATAAAACTGCACAGAACTATACAAACATATATACATACATAAACACACACAGATGCACACCAACAAACGAGTGCATGTAAAACTGGTGAAATCGGAATAAGGCCTATGGACTGTACCAACGTCAATTTCCTGGTTTTGATATTATGCTACAGTTATGTAAGATGTAAGATGTACTGTTCTTGCAACTTCCTATGAATTCATAATTGTTTCAAAATAAAAAGTTAAATAAATAAAGCCTGTCTCACAAAGTCATTACAGGGAATAAATGTTGAATTATTACAGAGTAAATGGTGCATCAGAATCAGCATTACCATCTCCCTTTTCGTGGTTCTAAGTTCCTCTAACATTCTCTTCTCTTCACAGCCTCCCAGAAACCCTCAGATAGTCCCTAACAAGTACTTCAGCTGTCAGCATCACATCTTCCTGGCCCTATTTTAAGATTTTTATTAGAAATCAACTTAATAGGGACCACAAACAACCTGCTTCTAACTAGAAATCCTCCTTTTACCCACACCTCAACACTCAGCTTCTGGGAGAGAGAATACATTTCCTCCACAGACTGCAAGTCCTCCTTCCCACCACACACACATACGTTCTTAGCTGTGCTCCCCAGAGGACGTACAGGGCACTGGTTAAGACCGTGAGCTCTGAGGCAAGATCAACCTGGGTGTGAATCCCAGCTTCACAAATAGTATCTGTGAGACTGTGAGCTAATTATTTAACCCTCCATGCCTCAGTTTCCTCATCTATAAAGTGGCGATTATTGTTGTTGTTTCTGTTGTTGTTAATACCTATAATCATGTAATAATAAAGTTTTGTAAGAATTAAACAAGATAGTGCAACATTGTGAAGAATGTAACCAATGTCAAGGAATAAGCTGTATAAAAATTGTTAAATGGGAAACTAATTTGCTATGTAAACCAAAAACCAAAACCAAACCCACTGTCGTCAAGTCAATTCCAACTCATAGCAATGCTACAGGACAGAATAGAACTGCCCCATAGGGTTTCCAAGGAGCAGCTGGAACCTTTTGGTTAGCAGCTGAGCTCTTAACCACTATTATGTAAACTTTCACCTAAAACACAATAAAATATTTTTTAAAAAATAAGATGGTACATGTAAAAATGCTTAGCATAGTGCCTAGCATGTAGTACATGTTCAATAAATATTAGCTACTATTATAATACACTATCCATATGTGAGCTTGTCTTATTACGGTGGCTTGTGTGTTGCCGTGATGCTAGAAGCTATGCCCCTGGTATTTTAAATACCAGCAGGATCGCCCATGGTGAACAGGTTTCAGCAGAGCTTCCAGACTAAGATGGACTAGGAAGAAAGGTCTGGAGACATACTTCCAAAAATTAGCCAGTGAAAACCTTAAGAATCACAACAGAACACTGTTGGACTCGCTTGCTTTGGACACATCATCAGGAGGGATCAATCACTAGTGCAGGACATCATGTTTGGTGAGGCAGAGGGCCAACGAGGGTGGGGGATACCGTTGGCTGGATTGGCACAATAGCCCCAAAGATGGACTTGAACATGCTGGCGATGATGAAGATGATACAAGATTGGGCAATTTTTCATTCTGTTGTACATAAGGTCAGAGTCAACTCAACGGCATCGATCTAACTAGCTAGTCAGCTAGTTAGCATTTAATAATAAAAATCATGTTGTTGTAAATTATCATCAAGGGAATTCCAACTTATGATGACCCCATGCGTATGGGTGGTGAAAATGATCTGCCTAAGAGATGTGAAAAGGGCTTAATACAAATTTTAAATTTATATATCAAAATAAACATTAAAAAGGCAAAAACAAACAAAACACAGGCAGTTCAAAAAGAATCAAAATAACAGAGAACTCACATCCTGGAAACAATTTATGTGTCTTTCATTATTATATGTGAGCCTTGATGGCGTAGTGGTTAAGTGCTTGGCTGCTAAACAAAAGATCGGCAGTTTGAACCCACCAGCCGCTCTGCAGGAGAAAGATGTGACAGTCTGTTTCCGTAAAGATTATAGCCTTGGAAACCATATGGGGCAGTTCTACTCTGTCCTATACAGTAGCTATGAGTTGGGATCAACTCCACCGACAGTAACAGTTGCGGTTTTTCGGTTTTTATAGTTGTTACACATCCATAGACCTTTTCCGAGTAGCTTCTCTGGCCCTCACCAGGCACCTGGCCTAAGGAAAGAAGGCAGAGGACAGGTAGCAGCCAACGTAGTGATGGCTGGGCCTCTTCTAGGTGTATACTAGTAGCAAGTACCTTGGCTGCCAGTCATCACATTATCCTGGCCCTATTTCTGTATTTATCTGGAAACAGGCTTAGAAATAATTCAGAGGGAGGCGTGCAGGCATCCTCAAGGACCACAAAAAACTTACTTAAAACCAGTGCTCTTTTTAGATTCTCCAAAAACACAAAGCTGTGAACTAATCTCTTCAGTAACTATGAGAGACCAGTGTTCTGACCATGGGCCCAGGAAGCTGATAAGGAGCTAGATGTTTCATGACTTAATGATTTTTCCAGTGTTGAACATGGAGTTTGAGTCCAGGTTTTCATTGTTACAAACAATGCCAGAGCGTAAGGGAAAGGAGATAAAACTCAGGGCTCACCCAAAATGGAGAATATAATAGGAGATCCCCTAGATAAAACCAGGACCCAAAAGGTTGACACAGAGAAATACTGAAAAATATGTAACTCTCAGCATGCAGACAGGGACAACAATAAAACTAGCCTATCTAGATTCTTCCAGATTTTTAACTACAAGCTGGTCCCTAATGCAGGTCTAAACTGTGCAGTCCAAAAATGTTTCAAATAAATAATTTGACTTCAAGTTACTGGCAGAAGCAAATACAAATCCTCATTAGAGAAACTCAACTTCAACACAGGTCTCAAAGAATTCCCACTGAAAATGTTCAAAGAAATATGAGCACATTTTTATACAAGGAAACAACGTGCCATGAGGGAAAATCAACAGATAGCAGAAAAGTGCTTCAGATACTGGAATAATCAGACACAGAATATAAAATTAATACACTTATTAAGCTTAAAGAAATGAATTAAAAATTACAAATATAAACAAGGAAAACAGATTTTAAAAGAGAACATCTGCACATACAAATATTAAAATTTAAATTAAAAATGCAAGAGTTTATCAATTTATCAATCGGAATTTATCATAAAAATTATTCAAACTAAAGATAAAAACAAAGAAATTTTCCACAGTGTAGTCCAGAGATTCAAACAGATGCAAGATAAAAAAGAGAGCTTGTAAGGTATGGAAGATACAGCAAGAAGATCTGAAACGTTTAATCAGAGTTCCAGAAGGAGATAATAAAAAGAATGGGAGGAGGCAACATTCAAAGTGAATAATTTCCCAACAGTCAAATACAGGAAGAACAAAATTTCAAAAACACAATAGATTGGGAAAAAAAAAAAAAAATCCACATCTAGGCTCCTCATGGTGAAATGCAATACATTAAAGAAAAAAATAAGATATAAAGAGCAGCCAAAGAGAAAAGATAGATCATCTATAAAGGAAATCACTCAGACTGCAGTGAGAGCACTCAAAGGAAGACTGACTGGCCGGAAGTGAGAGACAACAGCTTTGTGGAAAAGGAAATGCTGGAGGATTGTAAGCAGCATCCCAACAGCAACGATACCAGGAATCCTGACGTAGATTATTTATTCCAAACATGGCCACAAAAATATCTTCCATCCCACATGCTCTTCATCCAGTGTGACTTTGAAATTCCTCCCATTGAGAGGTAGGGTCTATGTCCTCTCCTACTGAAACTGAGTGGGCTTTTGTGACTGTTTCAACCAACAGGTAAGACAACAGTAACACTATGCGACTTCTGAAACTAGGTCATTAAAAGGTAACACAACATCTGCTTTAGTTGCTGGAATACTCACTCTTGAACCCATTAGCTGTCCTGAGGCCAGCATGCTGTGAGGAAGCCCAAACTAGCTCACACACAGAGATCACATGGAAAGGCCCTGAGACTACCCAGAGAAAGAGAGAAAGAACGAAGAAAAGGAGAGAGAGAGAGAGAAAGAAGAGCAGGGAGAAGCTGAGAGAGCTATGCCTGGCCAGCCTTCAGTTGCTTCAGACCCTCACTGTTCCAGCTCTAGCCACTATCTGACTGGAATCAGATGAGGGACACCGAGACCAACCCACCCATCCAAATGCTTGCTGAATTCGTGATCCACAGTAACTGTGAGAAATAATAAAATGATCGGTGTTGTTTTAAGTTGCTGTGTTTTGGGGTGATTTGTTACACAGCAATAGAAATGTGGAACATCTACACTGCCAACTGGCAGTTCTCCGTGCAAGCGAGAGCAACACGAATCAGTTTCACAGGATGAGGTCATGCAAGAATTTTTAACATCTAAGCACATTCAACACACTTAATATTGTATGTATATGAAATACAATAATTTTTCTTAATTGCAGTTCCTAATATAACTTAGAGCTAAGAAAAATCATCTGTTTTTCGTTATTCTTTACAGTACTATGCCTCCTGGAACTACTGCCAAAAAATTTTTTAAATTACAGTGAAAAATTGGAGGTGTTACTTTATACATGCTTTATTATTGGTATATGTTAGCCAGGCAAAGTAAGCATGAAATTTTTAAAATGTACTCACCCCCTTCCCTCCTGACTTTTGGTCAAATGGTACCATGGTGATTTGTTTGGAATCCCGTTGGTAGGTACAGTAGTGCTTCACCCAAGAAGTTCCAAAGTGACCTGAAAGGTAATATGTCCCATAAAATATCTATACATGCCCACTGTATGCTGCATATCATTAACTGCAGAAACACATAACCCATAACCCATAATGCTTACCTACCCTTACATTGCTTCTTGGCACAATACATTCTCCACACTAGCTAGAACAGAACAGACAGATCTGATCCCACAGGCTGGAAATGGAACCAACCCAGGGCTCCCCCCGCGGGACCAAGGAAGACTGTTTCCCACTCGTGCTACATCCAATGACTTTTAAAATATAAGGGAAGTAGAGGTTCCCTGGGGACGTTAATTCACATTCCCTTCATCAATCTCCATTTATAGTTTCCTCTCTTTTCTCTGACAGGAGTAAGATGATTGTGTAGAGAACACAGAAAGGCTCCTCAAAGTGCTTTCCCCAGTCCCATATGAGGCAATGACATCACACTTCCCACACAGCTGCTCTCTGTGACTCTGCTTACAGACATACCAGGGTTCTGACCTACTTCCAAGCCCCTAATTCCTCCTTTAGCAGAACTAAACAAGATCTGAAAAACAGACGAGGAAAACTCAAGAGACACAGAGATGCAGGATGCGAGTGACCGCAGAGGCCCAAGTGTAATCTAAGGAGCAGCTTCTCAAGGGTATCCTTCAGGAAAGAGTCATACAGTCAAGTTCTTTAAAAGTCTCTTATTTTACCAGGTGCTTGTTCAATTACTTTACTTTGAACAACAAAGTACTATTAAAGGAAGGAGGTATTATCTTATCAGCCTGCAAGGGCCACAATCAATACTCAATGAATTCCAGGTTCCCAAGGGAATTCCCGGTGACAAAGAAAATAGAACGTATCATTTAGAGGTAGACGAGACCCTGGGGACATCATCTTTCCCTTTGGAAAGTGAACTATAAAATTACTTGCATTCATCCAGACATATATTTGCAGAGCAATGTTTAGCAGCAAACAGTTAACGCACTCAGCTGCTAACCAAAAGCTTGGAGGTTCAAGGAGTCTTCTTAAGAAAGGCCTGGCGATCTACTTCTGAAAAAAATCAGTCATTGAAACCCTATGGAGCACAGTTCTAGTCTGACACACATGGGGCCACCGTGAGTTGGAACTGACTTGACAGCAACTGGTTTTTTACTATAGACCAGGCAGTTTCCAAACATATGCTCCACCTTCGGAACAAAAGGCACGAGTGCATCCCAAGCTGTTGACAGTCAAAAGCACTTACGTTTCTCCTGAACATAGAGGTACCCTTCCATGGTGTAGGGACTGATGGTCTTATGCTCAAGGGGATTCTCCTTCATCTTCTTCATCAGTGATTCCACTTCTGACCTGGTGCCTTCAAAGCGATTTCTTGTCTGGGATAAAAGAAAATTTATTCAAATCAAGAAATGAAATCTCTGCCCCCATCTCTAACAATTCAGTCATCAACTTAATAGAATCCTTCGATCTGAAACCAGATAAGGGACATTCAGTCATCTAGGAATTAGGCAAATATTCACTCACTCTAAGCACATTTTGGCCTTAAAGTCCTATGCCAGAATGACTCTCAAACTTTAGTGACCATCAAAATCACCTGGGGAACTCTGAAAAAATGCAAATGCCCAGGCCTAACCCCTAGAGGTCAATTTAGTACCTCGGGACCCAGAAACTTGAATTTTAAACAGGCATCCCAGGTGATGGGATTCTGCAGGCCCATGGGGCCTGTAGCGGATGCTGTGGTACACTCAGACCCCCGCTTCAGGACTGGGTAATCATTTCTCCAGCTGCCAGGAGGCAGCCTGCACCCAATGACTAGTGGAGGTTAGGGGCAAAAGGGGGAGGGGTCAAAGCTGGGCCCTCTTGCTTTAATTCAGGACTACTTGGAAGGATCATCCCATCTTCAGAGCTCCCCACTGGATTGACTGAGACTTCTGCTGCAGCTGCATTCCAGTTCAATTTCCTCTGCTTGCCTCACTCTCTCACAGCTGTTTTTGTCCACACTACACCTCAGTAACCTACTTCACGGCAAACCTTCATTTCCAAGTTTGCTTTCTGAAGAACTCAGCCTAAGGTGAAGCTATACTTCGTGAAACTTTTTCCAAAACTTCCTATCTTCCTGTCCTCTAAGACAACATAGAGAGCTGTGTAAAGGAAAAGTTCCATGCTTCTATGCAGTACAGCCCACATGGATATATCTGGGTGTATTTTCTACACAGGGTCATCTAGAGACAAAGAAAATATAAAGATCTAACACGGCATAATCACACATGGAAAAAGCAAGCTCAAGCCCCAGTAACTGCTAACCAAGGAGCCAGAAGGAGGATTCTGTGCACCTAAAGGGCCTGCTGTTAAAAAAATTAGGGAAGGAGAATGGGAGTAAACCGCACTGACTGGGATAGCCTGTCAATCTTACTAAAAGTTGAACAAGAGCACATCCTTTGAGCCAGAGGCCAAGGTGTGTGACCTCACGCCCAGCCCAGAGGGCACACTCCAAGAACTAATGTGGCCAGGCAGCTAGATGCACAGAAGGGAGGCTGGGCTGGGGTGGGGTAGGATTTCTACTGCCAAAGGAAATCCTGACTCTTGGGTTAAATCTTTAAAACATAATCAGCAACAGCAATTCCGAGAACACAAATACTGCTTTGAAATAATGGAGAAGAGGGTGATGGTCTGATCTGAGACCATCAAGCACCCTGGAAATACCTGCTCCCGGGCTGCCCTTGGAACCCAAGCAAGATCTGCCCTCCTCACCTGCATTCCAATCAAGATAAGTAGTCTCTATGGCAATCAGACCCATATTTTGTTTTTTTCCTTCCCTCAACCAGGAAGCCTGGCCCTTTGCCCACTCACATTCTGTATACTAATGGTCAACTGTGTCTTGAAGTCGCTGAAATCCTTGGCCAGTTCATAACCATGATGATAGAAAGTGAAAAGTCCTTGCAAGAATGCCAGTAGCTGTAACAAAGGAAGAAGGGCAGAGGTCACATAAAACAAACAAACAAACAAAAAAAAACAATTGCATGGAGTCGATTCTGACTCATAGTGACCCTACAGGACAGAGCAGAACTGCCCCATAGGGTTTCCAAGGAGCAGCTGGTGGATTCAAACTGCCAACCATTTGGTTAGCAGCCAAGCCATTAACCACTGTGCTACCAGGGCTCTGAGGTCACACACTAGGTTAAACAAAGATATTAAGTAGCTAGCTGTATCTGAGTTTCCAGCACTGCTTCAAAAGTCTAGTACAAAAGTAATAATAATGGCTCACATTTACTGAGCATTTCTTGTGTATCAGGCACTGGCACTGTGCCTGCGCATGCCCTGTCTCACTGATACTTGCAACAACCTATAAGATAAATACTACCGTGATTCCCATTGTAATGAGGAAGCCGACTCAGACAGGTTAAGTTAACTTGCCCAAGAACACACAGTAAATGGCAGCTAGGATTTGAAACCAGGTCTCTTTGGAACCAATATTCATACTCTTATCCTTCAAGCCTGAACACCTCCTCAAGAAAATCATAAATTGAAGACCTCGGCTCCACCTCAGTATCCTTCAAGTGCATTTATAATATTAGGTCATGTCATGGATTGAACTGTGTCCCCAAAAAATATGTGTATCGATTTGGCTAGGCCATGATTCCCAGTATTGTGTGACTGTCCACCGTTTTGTCTTCTGATGTGATTTTCCTATGTGTTGTAAATCCTATCACTATGATGTTAATAAGATGGATTAGCGGTAGTTATGTTGATAAGATCTACAAGATTAAATTGTGTCTTAAGACAATCTCTTCAGAGATATAAAAGAGAAAATCGAGCAGAGAGACGGGGGACCTCATACTACCAAGAAAGCAGCACCAGGAGCAGAGCACATCCTTTGGACCCAGGGTTTCTGCACGGAGAAGTTCCTAGTCCAGGGGAAGATGGACGACAAGGACCTTCCTCCAGAGCCGACAGAGAGAGAAAGCCTTCCTCTAGAGCTGGCGCACTGAATTCGGACTTCTAGCCTACTAGACTGTGAGAGAATAAACTCCTCTTTGTTAAAGCCATCCACTTGTAGTATTTCTGTCATAGCAGCTCTAGATGACTAAGACAGGTCATCATGCAGAAAGGTGTGGTTATATTGATAACCAACAAGGACGGGAGAGAAGGAAGATGGTGTGTACCGAGTCTGTAGTCTAACAGGCAGAGTAAGATCAAAGAAAATCATCCAGATTACACTTAAGCCATCCTACTAAAGTATATTTCTGTGCTCTCCTTAAACTATTCAAAAGTAAACATTATGAATTTCTTTATTAGAATATTCCCATGTTTCCACATTTTCAGTTAAGATGTTTTCCCTAAATGCTAATTTAAATCCCTTCTGCCTAAAAGGTTTAAGCCCATTCATTGTTTTAGTCTTGTCTTTAGTGAATAGTGAAAACATTTGTTCACCACAATTCTCACAGCATGCCTTCACATACTTAAAAACTATTAACTGTCCCCACCGTGAGTCCCTGCCAACCTTCACTTCGCCAAGCTAAATAAAATCCTCGTAGATCCTGTATCCAAACCTCACTATTGTTATACTTTCCTATCCACTTTCCAAGTTCTACACATCTTGCCCCAATTTCAAATCTCAACCTGAAGAAGGTATTATAATAAAAATCTGAACAAGGTTTAGAAGGACCAGTATGTCAGCTCTGTCACAGTTCTATCACACTCTGGGGATCATCCCTGTTCTAACTTCAACTTCTCACTGCCGATTCACATTTTCTCAGTAGTCCACTCTGACCTCCCTGATCTGTCTCTACCACGTTACACCAGACACATTTGCTTTACCTTGTGTTGTTGCAATTAGTTTTTCATTTCCTAAATGAATGTACCTTTTCTTACTGAACATAATCCCACTTATTTTGACCTAACTCTCCTTATCTGAGAGGCAGCTCTAATAATGGCAATGGGAGAACTCTTCCCACACACCTACTCTCCTACTTTGCTTTGTGGGAAGAACAGTAAGTAAATCCAAAGAATGGGTTACTCTACCTGAGCTCAGAGGACAGGCCTGTCTTTGGCATAAGCGAAGTGCCCAGCCCAGTTGATCAAAGAGCTCTGTACTGGGAAGTCAGATAAAACCCAGATTGTAACAATATGGTTCCTTGACTTCCCTCTGCTATTTCCCCGTTATCTATCTCTCTAGATACTCATGGGAGGTGAGGGAGCAGGCACTGCTGGGTCCTCTAGCTATAAAAACTTCTAGCGGCACCATATATAAATCCCTCATATAAATCAATGGCATGGAGTCACCAAAGATGAATAATAAACTCTTTTCTTCAAAGATGACCAAAGCCTCTTAAAATAAAATACAATTTTAATATAAATTATTAGTTTGTATTAATTTATTATTAATAATATAAATTATCAATATATTAATTTATTATTATTAATGTATTCATTTTTTAATAAAAAATACTTTTTTGAGAGGAAGGCACATATCTCCTTCTAGATGGTTCCAGTAATAGAGGAAAAGGGGCTCTTATGCCAAAGCTGGCCCCAGTATTCACAACAAAAACTGTTCTTTCCTTCCTCCTATCTCGTCCCTCCCTGCTGTACTTGAACGTTGTGCCCCCATCACTTTTTCAAGGCACTGAGCCATCACTTACTCAAGAATAATGCAAAAGATAAGCAGCGAACTCTAAGGTCATTCCTCTGATTAACTCTGATTTATCTTTTGCTTAAAACAGCCCGTCTCTTGCTCAAAGCAATTAGATATTCTCAAACAGCTCACTAAAATGCCACCCAGGTATACACCCAAGAGCTCCAAAGCAGAAAGTTACTAATATGTATAAGTTACTAATACGTACTTGGGTTTTCAGGTCCTTTGGTATCATGCCTCAATTGTCCATTTTTCTGTAGGAAATGATTCCTCAGATATTGTTATCTTTGACCCACTTCTTCCTTCCTGATCCTCTCACACATCTTTTCTCCTGTCCTCCACCTCCTTACATTCCCCTCCCATACACTGTGAGAACCTCTGAACCTATTACCAGGTGGCAAGTGGAAGTCCACTCCTCAGGGGGCAGGATGAGGCCCACAGAAGGACTCCAGAGATGGCAGGAACTGTCTGCTTCGAAGAAATGCTTCTACTCAAACACAAAGAGGAAGCGCTTGCCTTGGCCCCACCTGGTTATCAGATAAGAGGTCAGCATATCCACGGAGGCCCCTCCCTGAACAGTCCCTGCTTACAGCACGAAAAAGGAAATACCAAAGAAAGGCCTTCTCCATCTCCCTTTGCCTTCTTCCCTGTCCTTGTCTTCTTCAGAGAATAACTGTAAGCAAAACCTGCTCCTACTTCCTAGCTGACAACATAGATAGAAGATATTTAAAAAAAAAGAAGAAGAAGCAAAAATGTAACTGCTCAGTTTAGCACTGACTGCATCATTCTGAACTACCTGATAAATTTTGGCTATTTCCGTTCATAGACAGAGCTACCAAGAATCATTCATTCACTCAACAAACAGAAGGGTGGCCAGTAGAGTGAAGAAGAGCTAAATTCAGTCAGAGCTAGGTTAGGTAAGTCACATAACTCTCAATCAGTTCCTCATCTTTTAGATAGATAACTAGTATCGAGTTGACTCCAACTCATGGCGACTCAAAGTACAACAAATTGAAACGTGGCCCAGTCTTTATCCTCACAATCGCTGGCATGTTCAAGTCCATCATTGCAGCTACTGTGCCAAACCATCTCACTGAGGGTGTCCCTCATCCTCACTGGCCCTCTACTTCACCAAACATGAGGTCGCCCTCCAGGGATTGATCCCTCCTGATAACATGTCCAAAGCAAGCCAGCCAGCCAATGTTCTGTTGTGATCCACAAGGTTTTCATTGGCTAATTTCCATAAATAGATCTCCAGGCCTTTCTTCCTAGCCCATCTTATTCTGAAAGCTCCACTGAAACCTGTCCATCATGAGTGACCCTGCTGCTATTTGAAATACTGGTGGAATAGCTTCCAGCATCAGAGCAACAAGCAAACCACCACAGTACGACAAACTGACAGATGGTGGTGGTCCTCATCTTCAGCAGTGGGATAATAATGGTACCTATTACCACATGGGGCTCTGGTAAAGATTAATTGAGATCATCTATGTAATGGGCTTTGCATGGGGCATCGGCAGGAGCTTTCAGCAGGAGAGAGGTATCATCAGACTGATGTGTTAGAAGTTACACCGTGGCCAGACTAGAGAAGGAGGCCCATGACAGGATGCAACAGACCAAAGGGAAAGAATGAAGAGCTGCAATGAGGAGAAGCGGCTGGCAAGGAAAGAAAGGCACAACACCAGGAAATATTCAGGAGCTGAAATTCAAAGGATGTGCTGCTGATAAACATGGAGACAAGTTCTCTGTAGAACAAATTAACCTTCAATTATGAACACTCAGAGAACAGAGGGAACATGGCTTCACCTTCAAGTAGTCAGTATGTCATTATCTGCAATCCAAATCTCAAGAACATTTGGTACCTCGACAAGAAAATAAAGACTTTCAGGGCAAAAAGAAGATTTAGATCCCAGAAGTCTGATATTCCTTCCTTGAAACACTGAGATTTTTGTTTCTTTTTCTGAAAGTCCATAATATTCTAGTACTTGAAGTTACTTTCTAAGAAACAAATGAACATGGTCAATGTATATGGAGATTCCTTGAATGGCTGGAAGACCGCCTTGACTGCAACCAACTCAAACTATGGATACCCATACCCAGGTACCCCAGTCATTTAATTCAATAGATTTCATGCTGGTTTTCTTTCTACCTATAAGCAATCATATGCTATGCTTCATAGAAGTCAGGAGCCAGACCATCCTGCTCTGCTGTTTACTAGATGTGACCTTGGACAAGTAAATAAATTATGTTTCCTCATCTGAAAACAGAGATAACAACAGTACCTACCCTCAGAGCTGTTAAAAGAATAACATAGTGCAGGTAAAGCACTCAGAACATGACACAGTTTTAGGTAATACTACCAATTTTTTTTTCATGGTCTTCCTTTGTACAATCTAGGCCAGAGGCTGAAACTTTAATGTGCATTAAAATCACCTGGACAGCTTACTAAAATACAGATTACCAGACTCCACACCAGAATTTCAGGTCAGGGTGGAGCCTAAGAATGTGTATTTCTAACACTTTTGAGAACCACTGATCTAGTGGGTAGCTTTTTCATCGCACGAATCTCCTCTTCCTACAAAAAGCTCCTAAAGCCACTGACACACCTATAAACTGGTGTGTTCAGAAACAAGAACTACAGTGGAAAAGTAAAGGTTAAACATTTAAATCCTACATCCAGACTCTCGACAGACTCATTTTAATTTCACTTTGGGCAAGTCCCTAACACTTTCTATTTGTCCCAACATGGGAAGAGAAATCTTTTTCATTAGTTCTCCAGGTGCTTCACCATGCAGCCTGAGAAACACCTACAAACCACAGTAGTTTTCTACACCTTAAGTCCCTCTAGTACTTTTATATCATCCATCCTGTCCAACCTGGCAGTGAATTGCTTGCTACCTCCACTAGATCTCTCCTATACGCATCCTGCTTCCCCAATGAGGCTGTGAGCTTCTCAGACACAGCAGCTGGGTCTTTGGCATTTTCTACGGTATTCAATAAGTAAATCCCTTTAGGTTTACCAAGATTATTCAAATTAAGTGAAGTCACTGGGTGTGCAAACAGTTAATGCTCAACAACTAACCGAAAGGTTAGCAGTTCAAAACCATCCAGAGGCACTTCAGAAGAAAGGCCTGGCATATGGTAACATGTTTCCAAAAGGTCACAGCCTTGAAAACCATATGGAGCACAGTTCTACTCTGCAACACAAGGGGTCACCTGAGTTGGAACAGTCTCAGCAGCAACTGTTTTTGGGTTTTGGTTTATTTATATTTAAACAGGCAGGACCTGTTAATATTGACATTTGACTCCTTTGCTCAAATGAGGAGACCCAGGGTAGCTGAAGCTAATATATTCCTCTACCTCAGAATAAAAAATAATTGATAACGTTTTATTGGGTGCTAACCAGGTTAGCACTGTTCTAAGCACCTTATATGAAAAAACTCAGTTAATGGTCATAACATCTTTTTAAGTTGGTGGTATTATTATCCCTATTTTGCAGATGAGGAAACTGAGGCTTAGAGAAATAAATAACTTGCCCAAGAAAGACAAGTAAATGGCAAAGCTGGGATTTAAATCCAGGTAGTCTTATTCTAGAGCCCTTAACCATGATGTTATACTGCCTCTCAAAGAGAAAACTCCCAAAACACTGAAATACTACAACAAAATGCCAGGAAATGGAAGAATATATCCTTGCCATTTCTTTAAAAAACAATGGATGAAGGGAGAAAGGCAGGGAAGAAGGAGGAAAGCCTAGCCAGATCAGTAGAGCCCGGATCAGCTAAACCCCACAGATATATGAGAAATAAATGTTTATCGTTGTATGCCAGTGAGGTTTTGTGGTTATTTATTACTCAGCAAAAACAAACAGACACAATACCCATTTCCATCAGGATATCTACTGAGAGACCAAATGAACAACAACATAACTGTCTCAGTTATCTAGTGCTGCTCTAACAGAAAATACCATGAGTGGATGGCTTTAACAAAGAGAAGTTTAATCTCTCACAGTCCAGTAGGCTACAAGTCCAAATTCAGGGCATCAGCTCCAGGGGAAGGCTCTCTCTCTCTCTCTCTGTTGGCTCTGGAGGAAGGTCCTTGTGATGCATCAGTCTTTCCGTGGTCTGGGAGCATCTCAGCGCAGGAACCTCAGATCCAAAGGACACGCTCTGCTCCCGGCACTGTCTTCCTGGTGGTGTGAGGTTCCCACGTGTCTCTGCTCGCTTCTCTCTTTTATATCTCAAGAGACTGCATTAAGACACTATCTCATCTTGTTAACCTCATCAGTATAACCTCATGACAGTGATAGAATTTACAACACAGAAGGAGATCACATATAACATCATTATAGTAAGTTTACAATGCATAAGGAAAGCACATCAGATTACACAATCACACAGTACTGTGAATCATGACCCAGCCAAGTTGACAGATATTTTTTGGGGGCACAATTCAATCCATGACACTCCACCCTTTGGCCCCAAAAAATTCATGTATTTGCAACACGCAAAATATACTCATCTCATCATATCACAGCAAAAGTCTTAACTCCAAGTCCAAATTCCAAAAATTTCTCTTGATCTGTGAAATCTAGAGTACAAGTTATCTGCTTCCAAAGGCACAATGGCAGAACAGGCACAAGCTAGACATTTCCATTACAAATGGGAGAAACTGGAGGAGAAGAAGGGATAATAGTCACCAAGCAAGTCAGCAGAACACATTACATTAGTCCTCAAGGCTTTGAAAATTATCTTCTGTTCTCTGAGACAACTTACACAATAGCCCTGCCCTCCAGACTCTAGGTGTTAGCCACAGTCTCCAGATTCTGAGTGGAGGCCCTTCAGCCCTGGGCTTCAGCTCCACCTTCCAGGCCCAGTGGGGCAGCAACTCTGTTCCCTTGGCTTTAGGTGCACCATTCTCCTAGTCTATCGGAGTGACAACTCCATCCTTAGAAGCACCAGAGGCCATGGCTCCACCCTTTGAAACCCTGAGGTCATGGCCATACCTTTTGAGACTGAGGCAGCTCTGCTTCTTGTGTTCCTTGCCTCTTCAGCTTCTGTTTCCTGTGGCCTCTTGGCCCTTGGGCCTCACACCCACATCTGCCCTGCTGGGGCAAGTGTTCCAAAGCTCAGCAGCTCCACCAATAAGTGCCTGGAGGCACCCCACTCTGCCAGTAAACTTCAGCCAGAAGGCACTCAGCTCTCTTACTCCGTGGGTTGGCAAACCTTGCTCCACCGATAAGTGCCCAGAGGCACCCCACTCCGCAAGGAAGCCTCCTGTGCACAGGCACTCAGCTGTCTCGCTCTGTGGGTCCGCTCCAGTGCTGTGTGGTGCTGGTCTCCTGGTTCTGCTGCTGCCGGTTCTCTGCCACTTCCACTTCTCTGCTGCCACTTCTCTGCTGCTGCAGGTTCTCTGCTGCTGCTGGTCCTCTGCCACTGCCGCTTCTCTATCCATTCACAGTTTCAAAACCACTTCCACATTTTAAGTATCTGTTAGAGCAGCACCCCACTCCCAGTACCAAATTCTGTCTTAGTCATCTAGTGCTGCTCTAACAGAAATACCACAAGTGGATGACTTCAACAAAGAGAAGTTTATTCTCTCACAGTCTAGTAGGCTACAACTCCAAATTCAGGGCATCAGCTCCAGGAAAAGGCTTTCTCTCTCTGTCCGCTCTAGAGAAATGTCCTTGTGATGCATCAGTCTTCCCTTGGTCTGGGAGCATCTCCACATAGGAACCTCATACCACCAAGAAAGCAGTGCCAGGAGCAAAGCATGTCCTTTGGACCTGAGGTTCTGCTCCCATAAAGATTACAATCTAGAAAACCCTAGGGGGCAGTTCTACTCTGTCCTATAAGGACGCTATGAGTTGAAATCAACTCAACAGTACCCAACAACAACAATGAACTCTTCCTGCTGATTCTGAACACAATGCCATGGTGGGGTAGGCCACCACCACCTCTGGAAGAACTAACAACAATGCTGGTGTGGCCTAAACTAGAGTCAAGACTTTCCCTACACTGCAACTTTCATTCCACTGGGACACTCTGACCATGCCCAAATCCCCTCATGGACCATTCAGCAGAATCTCCATGCCGCTCTGGTTACAAAAAACCCAGAGTGAGAAATCATCTTACATAGCATCTTTTAAAGACATAAATGAGGGGATGAGGGCCTTTGAATCCAGGCAGAAAAAAGAGAAAGATATCATTTATATTGCTTTCTCTTGGGTTACTACATTTGGACTATCCGAGAGAGGAAGGAAGGAAGGGCGAGAGGGAGGAGGAAAGTTATGGTGAAAACTCCTTCCCTCTGGACTCCTCTTTCCATTACTTCCACCTGGAAACCAAACAGCACAACACCAGATAGCCAGGGGACGAACCATTCCAGCCAGTGGAAAAGGTACTGCTCAATGCTCCATCTTCACTGCTGTTGTACAGGAATGCCCACTGAGAGGAATCCAGGGTCAGCAGACTGACAAAGCGCTATTAGCAGTATGCAAGGGATCAAGGTTGATGAACCTCTTCGTTAACAATCTAGAGCAATTTGTAATCTACCAGGTAGTTGGAATGGGGGGTGGGGAAGAAAGTATGGATCCATCATCAAACCCTGAGCATCTACTTACAGGCTCTACAAACTCAAACATCTTTCTCTCTTGGACTTCCTGCACCTTGAAGACATACTCCAGGGACACTTCATAGAAATGTTGTCGGACCAGGTCCACTTGGCTGTCTGCCTACAAACAAGATGAAATTTAAGAGAAAATCAAGTCTGTACCAAAGGTGAACATTCAGCAAGCAGGCCAGAACATCTCTGGAGGTTATTTTAAAAAACAATTCAAATAGCCAGCATGAAAAAGAAATAAGAATAATGTAAAAGGTTAGCTGAGCACTAACTCTGTGCCAGGCATCATGCTCATAAACCAAACCAAACCAGTTGTCATCTAGTCGATTCCAACTCATGGTGATCCCATGTGTTTCAGAGTACAACTGTACTCCATAGGATTTTCATGGCTGTGACCTTTTGGAAGCAAATTACCAGGTCTTTCTTCTGAGGCTCCTCTGGGTAGGTTTGAACCTCCAAGCTTTCAGTTAGTAGTTGAGAGCTTAACCGTTTATGTCACCCAGGGACTTCATTACCATCCCCATAGCTCTACATATATTAAGTTATTTGATCCTCATTAAAGGAAATGATTCAGTGGCAACTTTTTTTTTCCTTTGGCACCAGTTTAAAAACCTATAAAGAAGATATTATCTTTACTTTATAGAAGAAAAATTAATCCAGCTAACAGTAAGGAACCTGACTGAGGTTACGGGTCTAATACATGGCAGAGCTGGGATTTCCGTCCTGGTCTGTCTGCCTCTAAGACCTCTGATCATCGTTAAACCACTAGGCTGTACCACCTCCCAGCCCATGGGGCAGACCCAAGTTCCATAGAAGACAGATGTTTAAAGAGTAAAAGAAAACCAGGAGGGCCATCCCCATTCCTTCCTTCCTAGTGAGCAAAATGAGCTGTTAGAGGGCAGGGAACTGAATCTGATCAACCTGTTTCTCATGATATTCAGAAAAGGACATTGCTCAGATAAGTCCCAAATACTTTCTTTGTGGTAAAGATAAACCACCAGTTTATACCAAGCAGAGTAATTACATTGTTCCCTTTGAGCCTTGCCTATCCCTCTGTGCAAGCAAGTGCATTTAGACATCTGTGTGTTTCTGAGCAAGGCCTACATGTGGGTACCCATTTAAACCACTGTTCCAGGATCTAGAACCCAGGAGGTAAATGAGTGTGTGTGGGTAGCAAGAGCTTCTGCTGGTAAGTAACTACCTCAGCTATCACTATAAAGCTCTCAACCTTTCCATAGTGTCAACTCATTCATTCCAAGCAAATAATTACGCTGAAAGCACGTTTTTATGACAGAAAACACTGAATATATTTTTTTCCATAGAAATGAATATCCTGTGAGGAAACAAAATATCCTGCTAAGGAAACAAACCACTTTGTTTTCCTTAGAAATGAAGGAGCCAGAGAACTTTCTGGAACGCACTTTACTAAGGCAAAGCCCCAAAAGGAATATTTCATTCAGTGTTCCTTTGTCAAGATTCCTGCAGAAGAATCTTGGGATAGCCTTTTACTTCCATTATAACAAATAAAGTCCCTAGGTGACACAAACAGTCTGCGCTCAACTGTTAACCTAAAGGTTGGTAGTTCAAACTCACCCAGTGGCACCTCAGAAGAAAGGCCTGGTGATCTGCTTCCATTAAGATTACAGCAAGAAAACCTTATGGAGCAGTTCTATTCTGTAACACATGGGGCCACCATGAGTTGGAATTGACTCAATAGCAACTAACAACAACCCTGACATCTTAAGAACTTGGCAAATCATTCATTCAACCATCATGAGCAAAAAAGAAACTTCCTTCATGGAGCTTACAGAACAGTGAAAAAAAGCAGACATTAATTAAATAATTGCATAAACAGTAGAAAATTACAAATTCTGATGAAGTACAGGGTCTATCATGCAGGCCGAAAGAGTTCATTGAAGTCTCCCAGGCTAGCAACTTCCTCCCAGGACAACTTACATATTTATACATAGAAGCTAGTCTGCTAAGTAACCACTGAATAACACCAAAACTGAAGGGCTAAGAGCAGGGTTTCAGAAAGATCTCAACCCCATTCCCAGGCCTGGCTACTCACACAACTGCGCTGACATAGCTTCCACCTGGGCTCCTGACAGCCAAGTCACGCACTCCTTCAGCCTTTACTTTCTTTGTAGTGTAAATCCAAGCCCCTTACACCGATGGGTGCATTTACTCCCATGACCACCTCACACACACCTAATACCTCCTGCCTGCCTGGGCCTGCCAACTGAGACTGCAGATGAAAAAAGGGGTCATTCTAAAAATAGGCTAAGTGCCTCCCCCAGTGAGGCAGGGAGGAAGGAGCCTCAATAAAATACCTGTGAGAACATCGGAGCAGAGTTCAGCATGAATAAGAGAGCGAAGCCAAGCAAACACCTGGGTTCCTGTTTCAAGTGTACCATTTACTAGCTGATGAGCCACTTATCCTCTCTGTGTCTCTTTTCCACATCTGTAGGACAGATAATAATATCTGCCCTTGCTTATGAGGAGAGCTATTTCACAGAGGAAATTAGGTAAAGGATGTCCACAACTGGAAAACAGCAAAGTGTTCTGTGCGTGTTGGTTATATTACCACCGGGCACTTCAGAGCAGATGGGCTTCAAGCCCTGCTCCTCCTCTAAGTTGGCCACGTCAACACCGGGCGACTAACTGGTCTCCTTGCTCTCCTCCCCTGGCTCCTCCACGTCCCAATCCCATCTCCACCCAGCTGCCAGATACCTTCTTAAATCTAAATCAGATTATCCCACAGCCCCCTGAACGCCTTCCAACGGCCTCTGCCATGGCCTGCATGGCCCTGTGTGATGTGCCCGCCCCTCTAACCTCACCTCCTCCACCCTAACCCACTCACTGCGCTCCAACCACTTTGGTCTCCTCCCGATCCTCTGACACTCCAGAACTCTTTCCTACCTCCCAATCTTGGCACTTGGTGTCCCTTCTGCCTAAAAATATCTTCCCCTAGATAAATAACCAATCTATTTTAAATTAGATGCACATGAAGAAATACTTTTTACACTGCAAACCAAACCCATTGCCATTGAGTCAGTTCCAACTTACAGCAACCCTGTAAGACAGAGTAGAACCGTCCCATAGGGTTTCCAAGGCTGTAACCTTTACAGAAGCAGACTGTCACATCTTTCTCCTGTGGAGTGGTTGGTGGGTTCAAACTATCAACCTTTCAAGTAGCAGCTGAGCACTTAACCACTATGCCACCAGAGCTCCTTACTTTTTAGATTATGATGCAAATAAAAACAGATTTATAATTGTAACAAAATACTAAGTGCAATGCACTCTTCTATTTGTCATTCTGTTCTAGCCGACTTTACTTCTTGATGCAACAATTTAGATTTTTATGACACATCCACAACCTGAAAAACACTGTCCTTGCTCTTCCTTTCCATCCTCTGGTCAAGTTCAGATGTCACCTCCTCAGTTCAGATGTGGTCAAGGAGAAGCCTTCCTTGACCACATTATCTTAAATAGCTTATCCCAGTGAGTCTCTATCTTATCTCCTAATTTATTTCCTTATCACTATATGAAATTCATATTTATTCCTTTTTTTACTTGGGTATTGCCTACTAGAATGTAAACTCCATTGAGAGCAAAGACTTTGTCTAATTTGTCCACTTTCATATTCCCAGTGCCTAGAATGGTGCCTGGCATACAGTATGCATACAATAGATACCTGTGGAATGAATAAATTCATCTCCATCTGTCAGTACTAAAGGCATGCTCCTGTAGCCACCCAGCACTAAGAAGAAACATCTCAAAGCATCTGCAGTGGAAAAGGAAGAAGAAATGCCAAGTGGAATGGTATGTTTCTCCTGCCAGTTCCCCTGCTTACTCTGAGCCATAGAACTAATTCACTACACCTTAGACACCTCATTAGTGGAATCATAAGCCAGGATTCCTACCCACCGGCAGACCACTCAAGACAGTTTCCCTGCCTGTTACTTGGGAAGCTGTACTCTGTCAGATCATCCAAGACCACCAGCCATTCTGTATTTCTTGGAAAAGAGACATTCTCCTAGGCTTTAAGCCCATGACGATGGGTACTTCGTTTCACTCCTCCCAACATACCCAGTGCCTACACAGGCTTTCACAGAGAAGCATCCAATGAATATTTGTTGAACTAATGAATATTGTTTTTGAAGCAAGCTTCTTAGCTGTTGAAGAACATGTTGATTTTCTTAAAGTATCCACTAGATGGCAGTGTCATTCCACATGGCTGCCCTGTAACTGCAACCTCTGAGGATCTAGGGAAGGGCTAGAATTTAAAAGCATTCAGTTCAGAACCCCGCAATCAGGGAACAATTCTGGGTAATCAAAGGTAGTAGATCAAAGGTGTGCCAGGTATTTAACAATGTTCCTAAAAGTTGTTTTTTTAAATAAATGTGCAGAAAATCATCACTAAGTAGCTGGAAGACCTTGAGCTAATCACTACACCTTGAGCAAGTCAGCCAACCTCTGCGAGGAATTCAGTTCCTTCTTATGTAATTTGAGGAGGTTGGACCAGATCCCCCTTTCCAATTCTATTTGCATGGCACCAGCGTCGAATGACAATGGCTGACAGGCCACAGTGTAACATTCCTCCCAGGAGAGAGAAGCAGAGAGCATACTGGGTTAGGGGAAAGGGCTCCAGGGCCAGAACACCAGGGTTCAAATCTTCACCCCTCTGTTGACTAGCTATGGGCCTTCAGCAAGCTCCAACTGAATAACAAATACTTAACATCTGAGCCTCAGCTTCCTCACGTGTAATATGTAACATGGAGGTAATATCTGCATCCGTACCTCATTAAGTTGTTGTGAGAATTTGAGGAGATTCCATGTATTGAATACACGTAAAATGCATTCAATAAATGTCAGCTGCTATTATTATTGCTGTTAGTAGTAACCGCAAAACTCGTTGCCATTGAGTCAATTCCAGCTCATACAACCCTATAGGAAGGACAGAGTAGAACTGCCCCACAAGGTTTCCAAGGGGCAGAGTCGAACTGCCGACCTTTTGGTTAGCAGCTGAGCTCTTAACCACTGTGCCTAGTATCATTATTATTGTTATTATTATTAGATTTTTATTAAACTTAATTCAATTCAGGTACAATTAAAAAGCAATGCTTAAAGGCACTCCTTGGAAACCCTGTGGGACAGCTCTGCTCTGTCTGTCCTATAGGGTCGCTATGAATCGGAATCGACTCAATGGCAAAGCTTTTGTTATTTTTAGTTTGCTTAAAGGCAGGGTAGAGATGGTGAGAATGTTGACACATTGCTGGGACTACAACCAATGTCATGGAACAATTTGTGTATGAATTGTTGAGTGGGAATCTAATTTGCCGTGTACACTTTCACCTAAAACACAATAAAATAAAACATCCTTTAAGAGCATTCCACCCTGCACAGGAGAAGGTCTTGGCTTCTCAACTAAGTGCACAAGCCCGTCGCGCCCTGGACCCTGCCTACTTCCCCAAGCTCACTCTCCATAATCCCCAGCATGTGCTTTACAGCCACACCATATCACCAAACCCTTCACGCCTTCCACCATCTCCTGGAGAATTCCTACTTACACCTCAGGGCCTTTTCAGACATGACTTCCAGGAGTCCTCTCCTGAGATCCTACCCCCTTGTCATATTGTGATGTAATTATTCATTTACATGTGTCCCTCCCATAACGGGCTTTGAAAACCTCCAGACCCAGCAATGTGTTTTGTCCCCTTGGGTTCCTCTACACAGCTGCTGCCCCAATCTTGTGAGAATGACTCCAGAATGGGGTCCTCGATGCCTTGCTACCTGCCTATCTCCTGAATTCCACTGGCCCTGAATCTCCTTCCTTCTACTAAGATCCTGTCCTCTTCTCTTGGAAACAGCTAAACTTACCTAGACATGCCCTAGGGAAGTTGTTCCTGCACTGCTGTGCAAACCTACTTCCCAGGCCCGGCATTCCCTGATGGAGGGTCTCAGCCAAATCCCACTGCCTCTAGCTCAACACGTTGCTTTAAGGAGCCACCTGCCTCTCAAAGGAGCCTCAATATGGCATTCTAGTAGGTCTTCCTAGAGCCACAGGAGGAATCAGTGTCCCAGCATCAGCCAGCAGGGGGCAGTGTGGAAACACACAAAGTAGGCCCTCTTTCAAGGGTGACCTTTCCTGCTGATATCTCTGAATCTATGATGCATGCTTGAGCCACCTCAAATCCAATGTCCAACTGGATTCTTCTCTTATTGTTTATTCTGATTAAATTAGAAAATCCTAACTCACTTACTGGATTGTTTGAAAAGGTTGCAAGCTCTGCCCAATAGTTCTGGATATTTGAATCAAACACGGATCAGAAATTATGGAGCTATCTTTTCACTGCTATCAGATCAACAAGTCTGTCACACTCAGCGGTGGGAATGTTGAGTATTTCAAGCCGGGAGATCGGGATAAGTGGGTTTCTAATCTTCTGTGATGCCTTCAGTCCTAGAAACTATTTCTTTGTATTCTCTTGGAGCCTTTAAATGTGGTTTTTAATTATGATTTTTAAATGTGCCATCAATTTCCTTCTCTGATAAATGAAAATAATTATCCAAAAAAAAGCAATGCTTAAGAAGTGACCTAAACAGATCAGGACTTGCAAGAAAGACCTGCAGCCCAATCCTGGCCCTCAAAGTACTTAGAAAGCATGAAGGGGTAAAAGAAAAGAACACAAGGGACTGTAACAAAACAGCACAGTGAAGAAAAGTCCACTGAGATATATAACAGGCAAACTCAGGAACAGTGCTATCCTGTTTGGGAATGGAGGACGAGAGGAATAATAGGCCAGACACAGGGATAATACTTAATATGTGTGCGGCAGGCTATTGTTTACCTTCTCATTCAAGAGGCAGGCAGGGCAAGCATTTAATGAGTATTTCACAAATGAGGGAACTAAAGCTCAGAGTTACTGTCAAGTCGATTCCCACTCATGGTGACCCTGTGCGTTTCACAGTAGAACTGCACTCCATAGGGTTTTTAGAGGCTGTGATATTTTGGAAGTAGACTGCCAGGTCTTTCTTCTGAGGTGGTTCACAGTTATGAACCACCAAACTTTGTCAGTAGCTGAGCACTTCCCTGGTGGTGCAACAGTTAAGCGTTCAGCTGCTAATTAAAAAGGTGGCAGTCTGAACCCACCCAGAGGCTCTGCAGGAGAAAGACCTGGCGATCTGATTCCATGAGGATTATAGTCAAGAAAAACCTATGGAGCAGCTCTACTGTGTCACATGGGGTCATTATTAGTCAGAATTGACTCGACAGCATCCAACAACAACAAAGGTCAGAGAGGCTAAGTAACTTGCCCCAAGTCACACAAGGAATATGTGGCAGAGTAGTCCTTAAAATAAGGTCACTCTTTGCTGACTAGGGAGTCCCTGGGTGGTGCAAATGGTTAAGCACTGGACCATTAACCAAAAGGTTGGTGGTTCAAACTCACCCAGAAGCACCTCGGAAGACAGGTCTGGTGATCTGCTTCCAAAACAGCCTTGAAAACCCTGTGGAGTGCGTTTCTACTCTGCACGCTTGGGGTTGCCCTGAGTTGGAATCAATTCGACGGCAACTAACAATGATGACGATTACTGCCTACTGTTCTGGTCCCTACACTGTGCTATCCTGGGGGAAGGTGGCATTGGGATGGTCCTAAAACAAAAGTTGAACTCATCCCAGACCAAGTCAGTTATATCTGGGCAGGAGAGAACAGACCCCGAGGAGAGACGCCCTCACTCAAAGGACTGCCAGGCCTACACTGCACTGTAGGCCTCCTGACAGGTGTGTGTAAGAACAATCACACACCTGCTCAACTCTACACAGCCGACTACTGGTGCATGGTCATCCAAACCATAATTTATAACTGCTTAGAAACTGTATCACTGGACAGATCTGCCCCTTGTTAACTGCAGCCAAAACAGGCTTTCGTTAAATATAATTTACAAACCCTTCAATGCCAACTGATGCTACAAGAATGATAACCGAAGGCCAGGGTATCAGGGAAGATCCTAAACAAAATTAAATATTTATATCATGGACAATCCACATATTCTTGGGTATCCTCTAGTGCCCACATCCTCTTGTAGAGTTGGGAGTAGCCTTTATGTTATCATCCCATGAAAACAAGCATTTCTTTGCTGTTCTCAATCACATATGACAGGATCTACCTGGGTAGCTATGCTGCATCAACAATCACTTCCTCACACATTTCTTTTCCTTACTCAGGCACAAGATCTTCAAGGATAGGTTAGTGTTTTCTACTTTCTACAGCTCACACCAAATAGTCAACTGCTGTTTCCAGGATCAGGCCAAGAACTGACCTGCAAAATACATTATAAACATTTGTTGAGGATTGAGTGACTACCCAACAACAACAGAAGCAACAACAAACGTTCATAATCATCGTGCACAAGAATTCATTTGAACACTCATTTCAAAGCAAAGAATTCTGAGGAAAACACACATTCCTAACTGAAGATGTGTAGCAAATCTGTAATCTGAGGTCTCTTTATCTTACAGGTCTCTCAGCCCTACAGTCTCAAATGAACTTCTGCTGACAGAAGCACTGGAAGGGTATTTGCTCAAAATGAAACCAACTTTAAGGGTTAGAGTTAGCCTGGAAGTCAGAGCCTCTCTTTAGCACATATCCTGAGAAAGGTCAAGCAAATTGTTAAAAGCTAAATAAGATGACAGTGAAGCCAAATTTGGATTTTCATAAACTCCCCCTGCCACCATGTAAATCTCCACGAATTAAATAAAAAATGGTCATAGCTCTGCAGCTGCAAAGCTGTCTTTTCTTTCCAAGTGAACTACTTTTAAAAAGATCCCATGCAGATTCAAGAAAACCACGGGGCTGGTCAAAGAATTTATTTCTTGAAACAAAATTACCAAAGCATAATACATATACCAGTTGCAGCATCTGTTACCACGGAGTCATTTCCGACTTGTGGCAACCCTATGTGTGTCAAAGTTGAACTATGCTCCATAGGGTTTTCAATGGCTGATTTTTCAGAAAGTAGATCATCAGGCCTTTCTTCCAAGGTGCCTCTGGGTAAACTCAAACTCCAACCTTCGGGTCAGCAACCAAGCACATTAACCATGTGCACCACCCAAGGACTCCATAATACATATGGGGGGATGATAAAACATTGCTTTAAAAACAAAAGCTAATGTCAAGTACTGGTTGAAATAACAAAAAATTTCACATTTGTGAAGGATGACCAAAGTTTCAGATGCTGACATTTCAAATCACTAATACCAGGCAGAAGTCAAAAGGTAAAGTAACAGAGAGCAGCGTTAAGGCCAACAGGTGAGGCTGAGAGGAACAAGCAAGTGGATTTCAAATGGAAAGGAAGAAGCACTTTCTAACAATTAGGGCCTCCCAACAAGGAGGTGGGTGGTCTGGGTATGCAGTTGTGTTCCTTGGCCACGGACAGGCTGGACATCCACAAACGGGAGACAGGATATAAAGGCATCAGGTGAGGGATGGAGATGGAGTTCCTGGTTTCCAAGGTATCTTCCAACACTTGTAGCAACCAGCACATTTCCACAGAACCATGTAAAAATTACCAGTAAATGCTTTATCCAGGATATAGTAAAGTTTCTTACCTCTTGAAGCTGAGATTCTTTCTTTTTGGAAGACAAATTCAAGTGTTTTTCTAAGATGCCGCAATACTTCTCTGTCTCCTTGTCATACTTCTTTTTGGCTTCCTGGCAAAAAGAGAAGAAAGGATAAGAGAGAGGGGAGAAGAAAAAAAAGTAAAACCTTGCAGGAATAAAAACAGCCTCAGTCATCTTCAGCTGTAGAGTTAGTTCCCTCAGACCACAGAGCAGCAGCAGATGGGCTGGCTCTTCAGATAATGCCCATTACATCATGTGACCATCCAGCAACAGACTAGTGGGTTTGAAGGTCTATTATATAGGCACCCCTGTGCTGGAAATTAGGTAAATACCAGTATTAGTGGCAAAGCCAGGACTCCACCTTCTAAGAACTTCAATTGTGGAAGCAGAAAATTTCTACTTTCTAACCCAGGAGGGTATTTCAAAGCCAAAGGGGCGGGGGGCGGGGTGGGGGGGGAAGTTTGCTATGAAGCTAACTGCAAAGAAAGAAGATCTATCTACAGCTGTAATTGGAAAAGTCTAGACTAAGACTAGATCCAGCCTCAACTGTGCTCAAAAAGCACTTCTTAATATAGAGACCTAAGTATCTCTTAACACAATAACATGACATCTGAGTCTTTAAGTGAGGAACGATTCAAAATAAAGAAGAATGTGATACACGTGTTCACTGCAGCACCATTTATAATAGCAAGACAGAAGCAACAACACTGACCAAGGATAGGGTTTGAGATAATTAAAGTATAGAACATGCAATAAATATAATTAGGGAGGCTAAACAGTCACATGGAAAATTGCTCACGGTATAATAAAAAGTAGTAATAGCATGACACGAACTTGGTACATCTTATGAAAACTGTGTCTGTTGTTGTTGCTGTTCTTGTATGTCATTGAGTAGATTCCAACTTATGGCGACCCTATAAGACAGAGTAGAACTGCCCCATAGAGTCTCCAAGGCTGTAATCTCTATGGGAGCAGACTGCCACGTCTTTTTCCCATGGAGCAGCTGGTGGGTTTGAACCGCCAACCTTTCGGTTAGCGGCCAAGTACTTAACCACTGCACCACCAGGAATCCCTGAGGAGACATTGCTCCTTCAAATTTGAGGGAGGCTACAGGCAAGACACTTGATTCAAATAACACTTTTCCTTTACAGAAGCCAGCGACTTTGAGCTGGGGTATCAACTACAATTAATGCTCACGTATCCATTCCCATCAGCCTTGTCAGCAACCTCAACAAGGAGAACCCTGGTGCTGGGGCAGTTCAGCTGGCCAGAGGTGAGAAAAGGCCAGGGAACATGAGTCACATGCTGTGACATGCTGGCAACTCCGGACTCCACATTCCATGTTCCACATTCAAGAGGACAGCCAAAGTTAAACAGGAAGAGAAGCAGCTTCTGCCCTGAGAAAAACAGCACAAGTCCTCTGCAAGGAATAATTCTATTAAGATTTAAATAATGTCCTTAAGATGGGAGGCTGGGTATTACTCAGAATTACTCAGGACACAGAAAGTTTTCACCTTGTAGAGAATTCATTAAGAGAGCCCTGGTAGTGCAGTGGTTAAAGCGCTCAGCTGCCAACCAAAAGGTGGGCTAAGCCACCAGCAGCTCAACGGGAGAAAAGATGTGGCAGTCTGCTTCAGTAAAGATTACAGCCTTGGATACCCTATGGGGCAGTTCTACTCTGTCGTATAGGGTTGCTACGAGTCGAAATCGACTTCACAGGGAAAGGCTAAATGGATAATGCACAGAGTCAGCATCCTGGAATTTATTCCCATTGCTATAAACAAATCACTGTCCCTCTCCAGAAGTCAGTTCCCTCATCTATAAATTGAGGATAATTGCAAGAGATAATCACTCAGGTTTCTTCCTTCAGGTCAAATACAATACGACAAAATAGAGCTAAGAACACCCACCTCAGGGGACTATTAGGATAAGATGGAAAAAAAAACAAAACCATATACAATGCTTAGCAGAGTGCTTAGCACAGTGGTGGTGATGATGATGATGACGGTGATGGTGGTGGTGGTAGTAATGGTGGTGGTGGTAGTGACGATGATGGTCGTGGTGGTGGTGACAAAGTAATGATGGTAATTACGGTGATGATTAGGTCCTCATTAATTAAACCTATCTCCTTCTTATTAAGAACATCACTTATTTTCCAAGGCCCAGCACATGTAACCCTTCAAAACACCTACTACAATTTGTAATTAGAAGTTTATTTATATCTATTGTCTAATGTTTTTCTAACCATCAATTGCTCATATTCAAGTTCAAGTTGAAGAAAATTAGAACAAGTCCACAAGAACCAAAGTAACAACCTTGAGTATATCCCACCTGAATTTAGAGACCATCTCAAGAATAGATTTGATGCACTGAACACTAATGACTGAAGACCAGATGAATTGTGGAATGACATCAAGGACATCATATATGAAGAAAGCAAGAGGTCATTAAAAAGACAGGAAAGAAAGAAAAGACCAAAATGGATGTCAGAAGAGACTCTGAAACTTGTTCTTGAATGTAGAATAGCTAAAACGAAAGGAAGGAATGATGAAGTAAAACAGCCGAACAGTAGATTTCAAAGGGCAGCTCGAGAAGACAAAGTAAAGTATTATAATGACATGTGCAAAGACCTGGAGATAGAAAACCAAAAAGGAAGAACATGCTTGGCATTTCTCAAGCTGAAAGAACTGAAGAAAAAATTCAAGCCTTGTGTTGCAATACTGACGAATTGTATGGGGAAAATACTAAATGACACAGGAAGCATCAAAAGAAGATGGAAGAAATATAGAGTCACTGTACCAAAAATAATTGGTCAACATTCAGTCATTTCAAGAGGTAGTATATGATCAAGAACCGATGGTACTGAAGGAAGAGGTCCAACCTGCACTGAAGGCACTGGCGAAAAACAAGGCTCCAGGAATTGACAGAATACCAATTTAGATGTTTCAACAAATGGATGCAGTGCTGGGAGTGCTCACTCATCTGTGCCAAGAAATTTGGAAGACAGCTACCTGGCCAGCCAACTGGAAGAGATCCATATTTGCACCCATTCCAAAGAAAGGTGATCCAACAGAATGTGGAAATTATCGAACAATATCATTAATATCACACACAAGTAAAGTTTTGCTGAAGATCATTCAAAGTGGTTGCAGCAGTACATCGACAAGAAACTGCCAGAAATTTAAGCCGCATTCAGAAGAGGACATGGAACAACGGGTATCACTGCTCATGTCAGATGGATCACGGCTGAAAGCAGAGAATACCAGAAAGATGTTTACCTGTGTTTCACTGACTATGCAAAGGTAATCAACTATGTGGATCATAACAAATTATGGTTAACACTGCAAAAAACAGGAATTCCAGAACACTTCATTGTGCTCATGAGGAACCTGTACTTAGACAAAGAAGCAGTCGTTCAAATAGAACAAGGGGATACTGCGTAGCTTAAAAGTCAGGAAAGGTGTGTGTAGGCTTGTATGCTTTCATCACACTTATTCAGTCTGTACACTGAGCAAATAAGCTGGACTATATGAAGAAAAATGGGGCATCAGGATTGGAGGAAGACTCATTAACAACCTGCGATATGCAGATTGACACAACCTTGCTTGCTGAAAGTGAAGAGAACTTAAAGGACTTACTGATGAAGATCAAAGACCACAACCTTCAGTATGGATTACACCTCAACAAAAAGCAAACAAAAATTCTCACAACTGGACCAATAAGCAACATCATGATAGACAGAGAAAATATCGAAGTTGTAAAGGATTTCGTTTTACTTGGCTCCACAATCAACTCCAATGGAAGCAGCAGTCAAGAAATCAAACGATGCACTGCATGGGGCAAATCTGCTCCAAAAGACTTCTTTAAAGTATTAAAAAGCAAAAATGTCACCTTGAAGACTAAGATGCACCTGATCCAAGCCATGGTGTTTTCAATCGCCTCATATGCATGTGAAAGCTGGACAATGAATAAGGGAGACCAAAGAAGAATGGACACTTTGCATTTGTGGTGTTGGCGAAGAATACTGAATATACCGTGGACTGTGAAAAGAACGAACAAATCTGTCTTGGAAGAAGTACAGCCAGAATGCTCTTTAGAAGCAAGGATGGCAAAACTTGTCTCATGTACTTTGGACAAGTTATCAGGAGAGACCAGTCCCTGGAGAATGACATCATGTTTGGTAAAGTAGAGGATCAGTGAAAAAGAGGAAGACCCTCAATGAGATGGACACAGTGGCTGCAACAACAGGCTCAAGCATTAAAAATGATTATAAGGCTGGCACAAGACCAGGCAGTGTTTCGTTCTGTTGTACGTAGGGTCGCCACGAGTCGGAACCGACTTGATGGCACCTAACACAACAATGTCTTTCTACCCAGCCATACCATGAGCATAGCAAACACATTTGCACTTGCTCTCCAGCATATACCAGTGCGTAGTGCAGTGTCAGGCACACAGCAGTCTCTCATGTATTTTTTTAACGATTGAACTGTGTATATCTAATATAACCGTTAATATCAAATGACTGCTAATATATGACAGACACTAAGTGTTCTATGCACTTTATATGAGTTCACTCATTTCCTCCTCATAATAACTCTGAAGTAAGTAACTATTATAATCCCATTTTACAGATCAGAAAACAGGCATCAAGAGGTGTAAACTCCTCTAAGTTTACACACAAACAGCAGAAGTGGGATTTGGAGTCAGAGTCATCTAGCTCTAGAGCCCACTCTTAAGCACTACTCTCTAATGTCTATTCTACTTTCATTATAGAGCTCAGATCTCCAAATGTACCTCTGATGCAGGAAAACTCAACTTCCCCAAACTCAGAACTCTAAACACAGGGCCACAGTTATGCCAAGCTCCAGGGTTGTGCCCTACTCCTAGGCAGCCCCATTAGCACAAGAATGCCCAGGGGTTCTCCTTCCTAGCAGCCTCCACAGCAAACACTAACTTTTGCTTCTTGCAAGTAGCAACAGGTTGTTATAGTAACCAAAGCAGAACCAGAGAGGGAAGGAGGAGGAAAAAGTAATTTTAGCATCACACAGGCAGAGTTCAGAAACCTCCACTTAGCTGCAACCAAACACAGCTGAAGAGCACTTGCTGGCTCGTAGGCATTCTTGAAACTGAGCTCTAGATCTCCTAGTAGGGTGTTTGTTGTTTCTGTCCTTGTTTTTCCTTAAATTTACATAATACTATGACATCAACTGAAGGAACCCTGGTGGTAGAGTAGCTAAAGTACTCTGAAAGGTTGGCTGTTCAAACCTACTGGCTGCTATGCAGGAGAAAGATGTGGCAGTCAGCTTCCATAGATTTACAGCCTTGGAAACCCTATGGGGAAGTTCTCCTCTGTCCTATAGGGTCGCTGTGAGTCAAAATCAATTCAGCGTCAATGGGTTTGGTTGGTTGGTTGTTTTTTTAATGGGTGGCACAATGGTTAAGCACTGGGTTGCTAACCAAAAGATCAAGGTCAGTGGTTCAAACCCACCCAGCAGTTCCACAGGAGAAAGGCCTGGAAATCTACTCCCATAAAGATGACAGCCTTGGAAATCCTATGGGGTAGTTCTACTCTGTCATATAGCAGGGTCGCTATGAGTCTGAACCAACTCGACGGCACACAGTAACATGACATAAATTATAGGGGTGTGGGAGAGGAACAGGCAAACTGAAAAAAGAGGTGACACAGGGGGAAGGATAAGAAGTCATTCCAAATAGCATCACAATCATTCTTTAATGGGAATGAGAGCATACAGTATATGTAAGAGAGGAAATATGTTTTGGGGAGTGACTATTTTATTTAAATTCTTTTATTTTCATATTTTTCACCACTTATAGCCCATCTTCCAAAAAGAACCTGCTTCTGTCATTAAGATTACTGATATTAAACCCAAAGGGAGACCACTCTGACTTCTGCCCCTCCTCCGTGGTAACTGTGGCAACCGCCAACCTAGTGCTGAGGGAAGAGGATCTGTATGCAGAAGTGACTCCTGAGAAAACGACTCAATAAGGAGGTCTGCTCTTCCTCTGTCACAAAGCTCTTTATAACCTTCTGAAGCCAGTGCCGTGTGTTTTCAGGAGTGGGAAAGCGTAGGCCTCAAGGCAGGGAAGGCCTGCTCAACTCAGAGAAGGTTCACTCACAGTGTGTGCTCAGCCATCACAGTGCTGGTTTAAAGTCTTAGACAAAATCTTAGTGGAACAAGATTTCCTTTAAATTACACATTCCTTAATCTCTGATATAAAACCGATGAGCTCCAATTTCTTTGTAAATATAGACTGTAAAACTGTTATAAAAGTGCTGTAGATGGGAGAAAATCTTTACCACAGTCCCTCCTTCAAACGATGGCTACCATCCCTCTGAATGACTGCGAGTGAAAGTCATTTTTTGGGTCCCGATCTCATCTTTCCAGAAAGCAAATGCACTTAGTTAAGAGAGGCAGAGAGATCCAATCCATTACATTTCAGCTACCTTTTTCCCACCCATAATCACTTCCTCAGAGCCATTTTACAACTGAGTAAAATCCTTACCACCTAAAAGGGTAAGAAGGTGATATTGCCCCCAACTCCCCTGCAGATGGCGCAAAGGACTGCAGCAGAATTTACTCACCGTTCTGGAAAAACAGTCAGAAAATCTTGAAAATCCTTTTGCTGTCACTAATTCCAATGAAAACATCTTCCCTACAGGTGGCCTTTAACACTCTACTGAAGGTCACACTGGCTGAGGTTTCCTAGTGATTCACCCAGGGCAGAAGAGCCCTGGAGAAGGCACTTTCTCTTTCACCCTTTACAAATGAACAGGATTCTCTGTGCAGTATTTCAATAACACATTAAAATCAGCTAAGTTTTGGCTACAATCCCTCTAGGTCAGTGATAACAACTGATGACCTTTGGGCTGAAACAGTGCTGAGGACATGGTTGGGGTTTTTTGTTTGTTTGTTTGTTTGTGTATACCTCCACAATGTTTAATATGAATTTTTAAATTATTTTCCATCATTTTTTAAAAACCAAGAAATTTTACACTAAAACTCTGGTATTTCAGTTTCTCTTGAAAAACTGCCCAAGCACAAGCTACCTAATAACATAAAGGAGGCATGGTTTCTACCTTTGGATGATTTAGAATTAGCACTAAGTGATTAGATGACAAAACACTAGAATGACTGCTCGTGGGGTTGACTGCTCAGTCTAACTTCAGTCACTTGTGAAGAATAAATGAGCTGGGCTCGAGGCTTAGCTGCCCAAGAAGATTTGCTGAAGGAGCTGGGCTTGCAGTTGCGTTTTCCACACCCCACTCCCTTAAAATCCAAGAACAAGGTCTTGTGGAAGTCTTACCTTGGCAGCCCCAATTTGCTCCTTCCGAAATTTCTCCAAGGGGGTGATGAGCACCTCGCTAGCATTCTCAATCTGGAGAGGAGAAACCGGGGGTGGGGGGCGGGGGAGAGCACTATCAGTAAAGAAGTACAACAGCTGCGGCATCTCAGTGTAAAACTAGTAAGCAATGCTGTGCGAGTGTGAACTGCTCACAACACTTGAAAGAACAGCATGTCAATTCCAAGTCTAGTCACCAGTTCTTCTGGGGCATGACTAATACTGATTCTTTAAAGGTAAAAGTGAGGAACTCTAAAAATCTCAGTAAACAATCTGAAAGCAGAGGGGAGCTGGTGACAGACCAGAGACTAAGTTTCAAGTGTCAGGTGACATCCTCTTTTCAATGGTCCTTCACTGAAGTTGTATTTAAAGCAGATCAACACTGAGCCTAGGCTAAAAACAAACAAACGAAAACAAAGCACCTTTGGACATCTGGCGGCATGACAAATCTAAGCCTGATCGTGACCAGGTCTGGACTGGAGTGGAAACATCTTGTGCCTCCTGACCACGGCCTGCCTCTCAACTTCATCTCACAGTGCTCACTCCCTCAGGTTCTCTATCCAGCCACACTGTCCTCTCTAATCCTCAAAGGCACCAAACTTGTCCCACCTCAGGGCCTTGGCCTTGGATGCTCTGCCTGCAAATCCTCACATGGCTGGCTCCTTAAAGTTTCAGCTTAAAGGGCACCTTAGGGAGGCCTTCCCTGACCACCAATGCAATCCAAAAAAGCTTCCCACCACCCCATCAAGTGTTTTCTTCAGAACACATGTGCCAACTGCCATTTTCTTGCCCACCATTACACCTGTCTATATTTGTTGGTCATCACTATCCCCAAGAACACAGAAGAGTGCTGGAACAACAGAGCACGCAGAGTTTTAATGACTAAATGAATGAATTAATGATTTATTGATCTGCTGCCATGTGACCATGGGCAAAATATTTAACCTCTCTGAGCTCTAATCTTCTCATTTGCAAAATGAGTGGGCTGGATTGTTCCAGCTCTAAGATTCTATGGTCTTTTCTAAGGCAGTACAACATTTAACGATCTTTTCTCTTATATCATTCATTGCTCACTCTTCACTCAAATAATTATTTCAGGAATCTTGTCACAACAAAGCATTATTTTCTAAATCACATGCACGTCCACCACAATGAAACCAACAGAGTGAATGCCAGAAGCCCTCGATGGACACAGCAAAGGACAGAGTGGACATGAAGGACAGAAGAAGACAGATCTCCAGATTCATTCCCATTTGGCTTTTTCACAAATTTGAGAGCGCTTATTTCAGAAAAGCTCATTTTAACACTAGAGTGTTGCAACTTGCTTGATTTTTATTATCTGATGCTGCTTAACTGACTCACTTGTTTCTTTGCCACAAATCAACCATAAGTCTCTAAAGCTCGTAATGGTGCAGTGAACCCCTATGTCAGTGATCCTCAGTCCTACCTACACATTAGAATTACCTGGGAGCTTTTAAAAATCCCAAAGCCCAAGGCATACTCCAGACCAAATAAACTGGAATCTCTGGCCTTTTCTCAGACATCAGTACTTTGTAAACTCTCCAAGTTATTCCAACAGGTATCCAGGGTTGAGAAGCCAACCCTAAGCAGATGCTAAATATACAAAAGCATTCAGCTGCTCACCTGAGAATTAGGACACCCAAGTCCTTGTCCCAGTCCCACTACTACTTGCTAGCAGCCTTGACAAGGCCTCCGTTTTCTCATCTGACAAATGGCAGATTGCAGATGGGGATGAATAAGGCCCCTCTGGGTCTAAGATTCTAGGACTGTATAATGTCCACTCAGTTCTAAGCACTGTGGTGGATATTGGGGACACAGAAGCACATTCTCTGCCCTTGAGGAATCACATATGGGACACAGACATGTTCAGTGATTATCAGGACACAATGTGGTAAATGTAGAATCAGAAACATGAACTGCGTATTAAGAAAATAGAACCAAACAAGTTGACGTCAAATCATCTCTGACTCATGGCAACCCCATGTGTGTCAGAGTATAAATGTGCTCCACAGGGTTTTCAATGGCTGATTTTTCAGAAGTAGATTTCCAGGCCTTTCTTCCAAGGCATCTCTGGGTGGATTCGAACCTCCAACCTTTTGGTTAGCAGCCAAGCACGTTAACTGTTTGCACCACCCAGGGACTCCAGAAAATAGAAAGGATGGCCAAATACCCTAGGGAGTCAGGAAAGGCTTCCCAAAGGAGGTGTGGCTTTGCAAAGCTGAGCTGAATGGATGATGAAGCTGTCACAGGGCAAGGAGGAAGGGAAGGGGCTTGCGATGGCCAGATACCCAGATGCAGACAGAAGAAACTCAATTCACTGACATTAATAATATAATTGCAGAGGCAAGCTGAAAAGTATAATCCAGCCATTGTTCCCTTACCACAGGCCATAGCAATCTACAGAATATTCATCATGATTTGCTCACCACCACCCCCCAACCCCACCCCCAAACAGTAACTCAGCCAAGAATTGGACTCAAAGGAATCACTTCCCTTTCTCAGGCATCAGCACGTGCACAAACACACACACTTTCCCCTGCCTCCACCCACCGCCACGATGCTGCTGCCGTCACCACCCTCTGGATTCTGGCTCAGCAGTGAGCAATCAGGGAAGGAGGGCTCCTAATCTTTCGCTGCAGGGCAAAAGGTGAGAGGCTTCTCTTCTATTTGGAAATTCCCACATTCTGTGGTATAACACACACTTGAGTTTGAATCCAGACTGTGCCACTTATGAAGCGTGTGACCTTGGGCAAGTTACTTAACGTCTGAAAACCTCAGTTTCTGCATCTGGGAAATGGGGATAATATAGGCACCACCTCACAAAGCCACTGTCAGGACTGAAAGAGAAAATGTATGTAAAGTACTTGGCTGCATAATAGCTTGACAGACTTACGCGCTCAAAGTGTCAGCCATTAGTATGGGAAGAGAAGAAAATGTCATTGATGGAATTTTCCCTGGGCCTTCAGAGCACTGCTGCCTAGAGACAAGCCCTCCTAGGACCCAGTGAGCTGCAGCCAGCAGACGATCTCAAATCAGGCTTCGCCCTCAATATCTTAAGGATATGGGGGAAGATGTAAAAGAACTTCCTATGGATGTAGACTCTCTCATCTACTAATGCTGGACCACATCAGAATAAATCCTAATACAAAAGATATCTCTAAGAACCTGGAGATCAGCATTTGATTCTTGAATGTGCACAATGCCTCCCTTGAAGAGCTTCTTATAGTTAATTACCTTAATTGACTAAGTACCTTTTAGTGGGTGCCTACTCCAAGGCAAGGACTGTTTTAGGTGCTTTGGAATTACAAGTGAAATAAGAAGTGACCTCTGTCCTCAAAGAGCTCTTGGGCAGGTTTAGTGAACGGAGGAGAAAGGAAGAGCAGCATGGGGCACCTTTATTCCTGTCCTGCCAGGAAGAGAGTCTGAGGCTCCAAAAAAGTTAAATAATTCAAAAGGTCCACCCTTAAGTCACTAATCTTATGTATATATCTCAACAGTGAATCTTCAGGAGAACAATAATACCATTCTAAAATTACCCAGGGTAATCCTTTACCATTTACAAAAGGCTCCAAACCCTGCAAAGCAGATATTAAGATGCCCATTGCGGAGGTGAGGAAACCAGGGCTCAGAGACTAGAAGGCTTGCTCCAGAGCTCCCAGCACTCAAGTGGCAGAGCCTGGACTTGAACCCAGTACTTCTGACAACAAATCCCTTATCCTCTCTATGTGACCACACTGTCTCAGACCAAGACCAGACAAGCCATACTTACCATCAGAATCCGTTCATCTTCAAGATTCCTAAGCACAGTGGCAAACTCCTGCAGAGACCTTGCTGGAAAAGAGAAAGGGGCCATGAAGTAGAAGGAGAGCAATGGGCCTTCAGGAGCCTTCAGTTCCAGGTATTATGCTTTCGATTTAAATCCCTTGGCACACAAAAAGGTCTAATGTCAATGGCTTCCCAAGCCTCCCCTTATCTTTTAATCATTAATTAGCAGGATGATCCCGAAATACAGGCTAATCCCATCTGGCACCATGCGTAACAAAAACATTCCTCAAGGAAAAGCCCTGCCTATTCCTGAGAGTATCCAGGACTGGCGAGTTGCTGGCAGGTTCCCAGGTCCCGGGCTGGAAGGGGCAGAGTTTCCGTTTAGAAGCTGAAGGATTTCCTGCCCAGGATTTGACCTCCTCAACCTTTGTTGTGGGGCTGCGTCAGAACCCAACCTTTGCTTTGACACCAGATCTAAACAAACAGCGCTGCTGGCATTGCAAGCCACATCTGTGACTTCTCCTTGGGCTCCTCCTCTTTGAGTCCTTAAGCCACTTTACTACTAGAAGGCAGCTTAGAGCATGGTGGTCAGAGGTGGGGAGTTTCCTTCACCAGAATTATTTGCAAAGGCAACAGGCATCAAGTGCAATAACCCTGCAGATACCCGGGGCACTTGCACAACGCTGTGAAAAGCTTCCAGATACCCAGCAGTTAAAGACTAATGCATTTTCACTCCTCTCAGCTGCCTCCTAACTGCCTTTTCATCCCCAGATCCTGGCCACTCTGTATGGCAACAGGGACTCAATAAACATTTGATAAATTCATTAATGCAATTTAACTTTCTCAATTCTTGCTCACGTAATGGAGTCAACCAAGATGCTCAGGGAGAAAAAATAAGGTGCAATGACTAGGGCCTGGTAAAGAAAAATGTCTTAACACTGAAAATCCTCTGAGCTCAGGGTTGCCTAGAAGGCAGGCAGGTGATGGTGAAGAGTGAAACAGCACAAGCATGGTGACAAATGGTAACCCACCCTCAGCCTCTGGTAAAGAGACAAAAGGTAGAGGAGCGGACCACAGTAAACCGAGCATTGAGACCGCACCCCATTTGAAGGCAGCAGCAGTAGCTACATAGCTCCAGCCAACTGCCACCAAGCCAGAATAATGTAGGACCCTTTGTCAGACTCTCCAAGTTATCAAAGAAGCTAGAAAACTGGAATTTTCTCTGAGTTCAATTTATATGGTAATTCGATTTAATAAAAAAAAAAACACTGAGAGCCAAACAAAACATGGGGGCACTCTGATCCCAGCCTACGAGTTACGGTTCTGCAACCTCTGATCTAATTCTTCCCTTATCTACCTGCATTTTGCTTTTGCTCTACATTCTTTGTACCATGATGGCAGGGCGGGAGGAGAGAACGTCACAAAACCAGTCAGAAGAAGAAAGCTAAAGGAAGGTGGAGTGGAGAATCCCACTGCAACATCTCAAGTTTTCTCCTGCAGGCCAGAGAGTTAGTAAGGAAATCCCAGACTCTGGGGAGAGGCCCAGAATATCCTGGGTCCTTGATCCTCACATCACTCTGCCCTCTCCACTGCTACTGTGGACATCTTTATTTAATGACCTCAGCTACTTCCTTTCCCAGGAAAAAGCTCCTGCTATGGCATGGAGAGTTGTGGTGAACAATGAATTTGTTTATCTTGTGGAAGGTTAGGACTTACCTATACACATTTCATCATCTGTTTCTGCATCTCCTATGCACTGAAATTTAAATTCATTTAAGGAATCTGCAAATTTCCGCTTCGCTGAAGACAAATCTAGGAAGAACAAGAATGCAAAAAACATGAATTACTGAAATAAACTGGCTTTCATATTTGCTCACTTTTTAATCCTTCTATTAATATAGCAGCTAGGAGATTTGTTCCTGAGTCCATTTCAAAGCACCAAACCCAACCAAACCCACTGCTATCGAGTCAATTCCAACTCACAGAAACCCCATAGGGTTTCCAAGGCTGTAAATCTTTACAGAAGCAGACTGCCACATCTTTCTCCCGCAGAGCTGCTGGTGGTTTCGAACTACCGACCTTTCAGTTAGCAGTCGATCACTTTAACCACTGCGCCATCAGGGCTCCATTTCAAAGCACAAATATATATACACATATATATACATATACACATATAAACCCCTTGCTATTGAGTCAATTCCAATTCATAACGACCCTGTAGGACAGGGTAGAACTGCCCCATAGGGTTTCCAATCTTTAGGGAAGCAGACTGCCACATCTTTCTCCCATGGAGCAGCCGCTGGGTTTGAACTAACAACTTTTTTGTTAGCAGCTGAGAACTTAACCACTGCACCATCAGGGTTCCATATTATTTAGCAATTCAATATAGTAAATACCTGTTCATAACATCAGGCGTTTATCTGCTTAAGAAGATAATTTTTTGTTACATTTGCTTTAACAACTCATGTCATGGCTACAATTCCTCAAGCTACAAAGTGAGCCCTGTCACCTCGACTTGACAATGTGGGAATCCATTCGCCTAAGGAGGTCGGGGAGGAGCCTGGGTCAGAGCCCATACCAGCATCCACAGCCCTGTGAGTCCAGTCTGCCAATGGCCCCCTATATAGTCAGTATAGCTGCTCCCATATCTGACTCAACAATATATCTTTCCCTACGTCCAGGTAGTGCAAATGCTTAACATGCTCGGCTGCTAGCCAGAAATCCACCCAGAGGTACCTAGAAGAAAGGCCTGATGATCTACTTCTGAAAAATCAGCCACTGAAAATCCTGGGGAACACAGTTCTACTCTGAGATACACATGGAGTCGCCATGAGTCAGAATTATCTCCACAGCAACCAGTCTACAGTACATGTCCAGTTCCACAACACAAACTGACGTTAGCTAGGGAGCCTGGGGAAAGCTGGAGGAAAGGGCTTGGCACTGCCCCATCCCAATGGCATCAGACCACCTGACTTCCTCTGCCAACCCAAGTATAGCAGAGGTCTGCATTCTCAGAACCCTCCCCAGTCTCCTCAAAAACAGAGTGGCCGGACGCTCTGGTATATTTCTGCCTGAACAATTTCCCTGGGTCACCACGTTCCACCACCACCATGCGAACAAAGCCTTGGAGATGTTTGGGGTTGGAGCAAAAACACACCCCAAACATGGTATCTATAAAGAAAGCTCTCTGAGGTCCTTGTCAAATTTAAAAAATAAGCTTTCATTTAATACAGTAATAAAAGCCAATGATCCTTCATGAGCCCTCAGCTTCTGTTAAGGGTATAAAACCACCCAGGTACCTTTAAGTGGCCTGACAGACGTTGCTACTCAGTACAAATGCGCTTAACTGAATTCTGTGGGCAGCCTTCCTGCAGATTAGGCTAATCATTCCAATTAGCCTCATACATGTTGCCTTCATTGAAGAAGAAATGGCATTATGTTCAGATTCCCAGAGGAGGGAAATATGAGGCATAACTGGTAATAAAGCCTGGCTTTAATAAGATATTCTGGGAAAAGAAAAGATATTCTGGCTTCAGAGACCAACCTAACCTACTGGAATAAAAACGTCCAAGAGCTCAGCACTTCTCTTTTTTAGTTCCCAGACTTGTCCCCTGAGGTTAAAGGCCGTGTCTTCCATCTTTTGGTTTTGCGTTTTCTCCTTTCTGCATACCTGACAGTGCTTCCCACTCAGTGTGTGCTGAATAAATGGGTGTGTGGTGCCTTGTGTACATATCCAACCCCAGGGCTCAGCGTTCTAATCCCAATGTTTCACTCCAGGCAGTGGCCTCTGCTCCTGGGCTGCCCTCCCACCAGCTCAGGTGACATGGGTCCCAGCTAGCTGGGGCTTGAGCAAGGCAGTCCATTCTACACCAAAAGAGGAAGGCACTTAGTGGTGGAGAAGGAGAACGTAGGCACAAAGAGCCAACAGTCTCTGCTCTCTCCCTGGTTCCACCACTTTAATGCAATGGGTCTTGCCAAAAAGTCAAAAGATGCTGGCAGGGGAATCAGGCATCTCTCTAAACTGACCAGCCCAGGCTGAGGATATCCCTCAGAACACAAGTCACTCCCAAGCAAGTCAAGACAAAAAACAGATGCATGTGAAAGTCAGAACGCTGCAGGAGGAAGGAAAGAGGAGGCTGCAGGCAGAAGAAAAGAGAGAACAATATTTCAGAGCAGAAAATAAACCCCTCCAAGAGCCCCAAAGAGCGTACCCAATGTGGGTGTGGTTGCAAACATGTTTATTTTAGCCAGAATGTTGCCCTGATCTGAACTCACAAAGAAAGGCCTAGGCAAAGAGTCACAACAGGTTTGTTTCTCTAGCCACCTAATTATCCTCCTATGCCCCTCCAATAGGGCAAGAAAGACTCAAACTGGACAATCGTCTCAACAAAGTGAAAAAAAGGTGAAATGTAAGCCTGGCTTGGGAAAGCTCCCAGCTCGCACCTGAAAAGGTGAGCTGCCACGGGCAGCTGCCAATGAGGATCAAGGAGTGGCTAATAATATACAACGGGGCCTTTGTGGGGCCTTTTCACAGGAGGACACCGTAAGGACCCACTGAACCAGGCCCAGGTCTGTTACCTTATGACCAGAATGTAACCTGATTTCATTGTCTGGGGCACGTAGCACACCCGGCCACAGCTCAAACCTAAGAAGCAACGTGGGCCACATGAAGCTGATGAAGAAGCCAATCCTCCTGATGGAAGACTGGATAATGAGTACTGGTATGGAGTCAATACTGGGTTGTAGGCAGCGAGGACAGCAGGGTACAGTGAGAATCCCAAATAGTGGAACCTGATGAAAAGAAACCCGCCAAGGGCTTGGATGGACACCTGTTGTTTTGCTTGCTCGAAATCCATTCCCCGATCTTTGGAAACAGCATCTCACACCTGCTTTTGGAGAATGCCCTTCTTTACTTGCATTCCATGGGGTTCTGGTTATAGGCTAATCCACCCCTTCTCAAGCTTATCTTCACCCCACCCCACTCCACTGGCTCCTGGGTTCAAGTTTCAGCTCCACCACTAACCAGATATGCAACTAACCCTGGGTTAGTCATAAAGTCTCAGTTATAGCATCTGTCAGAAGTCGGCAGCCCTACCTAACTCATAGGGCTGTCAGGAGAATCCAGTGAAACACACCTTCTGTGTAAGTACTCGGTACACCATAAGGTTCAGGTCTAGGCAAGGCTGGACTATTCTCTCCTAATATATGAATCCTACTGTAACAGGACCTAGGGAGTTACAGTAAGCATGGCTACCTGTGTTTAAAGATCAGAAGAGTTAAGTCACTGACCTAAGAGCACACAGCCACTAAGGAAGGGACTGTGGCTTGATCCCAAGTCCTCTGAATTAGGATCCTTACAGCTTGTTGGAACACCATGGTGCCTCACCCTATTAAGATAAATCTCTCTCTGTCACTTGAGACAACTAAGAAGACATCAGAAAAAGAACACCCAAAAGCCATTGCTTCTTGCCTACTGCAACGCAAAAGTATCAGTGGTATCTTATATAGATTTTCACCTTAGATATGCAGCTCCCCAAAGACTTCCTTCTGGAGCTTTCACTCGGATGCACACAGGAATCTAACATGCACATTCCAGTAAGAGGACAGAGGAAGGAGGAGAGGCTGGTACTGGTGCTGGGTGCATGCCAAGCTCTGTGACACCTGGCTCATATAAACCCACTGTTTTCATGTTCAGGCAACGCAAAACACAGCAAGGACCCAAGTGGAGTCAGTAACATTTACTTTGCAGAAACATCTGTTGCTAGAAAGGCAGAGTATCTGGCCAGAGCAGAAAGAAGTCGTAACTACCAGTATCTGGGGGAGGGCAAGAGTACGTATGCTCTGTCACTCTGAGCAAGGAGACCAGAAAGATAGGGGATACAGAAGTAGCTAGAAGACTGAACCTCAAGAGACTGCTCCCAAAGCTGTCTGCTCACTCTGAGACCAGAGGAAAGTGACTCTCTTCCTGGGTATGCCATGCTCTCCCTTAACAGGTACAAATCTCCATGGGGTTTAAGAGAATTTAAGCCAAGTATGATCCTTCTTTTGCTAAAAGAGAAGGTTTATCGTACTTTTTAAAATTGGAATATAGTTTCATTTTACACAAGTTTTACCAGCTATACTGCAGGTCAAGCCATTTCTTTTTTCTCCTGGGATAAAATATAATATACATGCACACATACAAATACACACACGCATGTATATGGCCACGTAATGAAGGACTAAAGGTAGCCTTAAAATTACATAATTTCATTGCACCTATCGCTTTCCTGTGACCTCAACGTTACCAAAATTATCTCTGACTACCCTTAGAAATATTTGCTACTCAGTCACGTCGTTCTCTCAAGACTTGGAAACTGACTGAAGTTAATAAGACCAATTGCCGAGGCAAGTACCTGCAACAGGATTGGTCTCTTGGCTGCTTAAAGCACTAGAATACCAAAGTCCCCTGGTGTTGCTAATCTTTCCCTTCTCTGAACTCCAATAACACTCTGAACTTCCAATAACACCTTGTATTCAGAAAGATTCTAGAACTATCCGTGAGTGGTTTCATGTCATAACGCACCCCAACGAGTGTCTAGGGCAGGGCTGGTACTGTGGCCCTCAAAATCTGTTGAACTGAACTGACTGGACACAGCAATACAAGCTGGCTTACATGTGGAGTGTCTGAGATTCCCCAGGTGAGAGGACCCATGACCGAGCTCAAAGATGGACATCAGTGCTGCCCTCCCCCCCTACCCAGAGACACAAGTTTCCCCCACAATGCCCATCTCCACGTAATGGCCAGCCAACATACTCAAAACCAACCCCTC